GGTCCAAACAGTGTTTGCGAAGGGCTGTGGACTGCGAAGATCTTGTCCACAGCAAAAGCCAACCTCAATTGAATAACTATGAGGCAAGCAATCTCTACCACCCTGCCCTGCTCCATCGATGAGAAGGTTTAGTCTCTTCATGGTGTTGTGAATCCGACTGAGTATGCAATGCATGGAATCTTTCAAATACAACAAAACATGAAATGAATCTAGACTTCCCCCAGATATGATCCAATCTGCCTAGTTCTTCTGACTTTTCGAATTGAAGCATGAAAAAACGGAGAAACAATTCCGAAAGTGGCCTCACCAAAACCATCTGTAGGTCCAACCTGAAGACAAAAACATGAAATTTCACACAATACGTGAAGGTAATGTGAACAAAACTTAAAGAGTTAACGGTCCAAGGATTCAGGATGAATTCAATTCAAGAGGCAGCCCCTATCCACTACTCTGAGGATTTCACCTTGCAATGCCCTGGTCATGTAGCGCCCATCACCTCCCAAGGCAAAATCAGATTTCAGTCTCACTTGATATAATAAAGCCCCGAGTACCCAAGAAAAAACAAGTTCTAATTTTCAGCAAAATTTTTTCTCTTACCTCACCAGGCTAATCGTTCAGATTCTGCTTTGCTGAGCCAAGCAGGTTGAAAAACAAAATTTGATTGGGCAAATTCATCCAATCACAACCTCTCTCTCACACCTGGTAGATGTCGGTCGAATTGAACTGTGAATGCTGGCTGCAAGTAGACCCCGGTAACGTTGTACTGGAAGGACATTCCATCTTCATGGAGGCTGAATGGCCCACGCCATTTGCGGACCACGTCATGTGGATACATTGGAGTGGCAATCCAAATCTCATTGGCGATAGGTGCAAGCAATCCACAATCGCTCTCCATAAGCGTACGGTTCACCTGGTCAATCACATGGATCTTCCAAGCCAAGCCCTTCTCTGACTTGTGAATCTCCTCCTTCAACTTGTCAAAGGCTTTCACCCTGAACTGACCAGCCAGAAAGGGAAAAATGCTCAGCTGTTGGTTCAAGTACGCCTCCTCACGGACCTTCACGTTCCCATTCTCCTGGATGGCTCCTGGTGGAAGGGGCCAAGTGAAGTATTCCAGAACATCGTGCCCCAAAGCCTCTGACCACTTGTTGAGGTTTGCTTCCAAGGTCGCAATCTTCCCCTCAGTCTCTGAATCGCCATGGGTCAGCAACACAGTCAAGATGGCTCCAAGTTGGTCTGCCTTGTCTGCCATGCTGCACTGAGACTCACAGGACCGGAAAGTGAGAGTCACTTTTTCTGCTTGCTTGTGCCAGAACTACGGTGGCCATTTAAACTACTTCATGTCTGTGTGTCTGATTCTTGGCGTTCATTTCTTCCAACCCTTCTTTCCAGCAATCGAAGGCAATGAGCACAAAGAGCTCCATTGGACAACCACCGCAATTAAACCAGGTAGACCCTGCCCGGCCTGGCCTGGCTGAAGGGCGTTGACAAGCACAGGAGTCACTAAACTACTCTGTTATTTTGAACCATATGCCTGTTGTTGATGTTGTTGTTGTGGTGGTGGTTATTGTTGCTGTTTTGCAAATATAGGCAAACATGTTGTCTGTCTGTGTGTGTTTTTTTTTTGCCCGTCCTGCCCCCCCACGGGCAAACATCATAATTTCATCGATGGTGAGATTCATGGTGTTGAATATGGTTCAGTTCGAATCTTGCAACATCATAGTCCAACCATAAACAGATTGAACATATACCCTATGATTAGCTAAAGAACGCCCCAAAAACCAGAAAACCAGAAACCAGACTTTTGGTGGTGCCTCACCGCGCGAAACAAGACTTTTACCCGAAACCCCTGCAAAAATGGGGCCAAGACCGGTTCCGAAATGCGGTTCTGAAATAAGGGTGGAAACAGAACCGGTGTGCCTAAAACCACTTTTCCCTGGAAAAACCCAGGTGAACCCAGTCCAAAAACCAAAAATAAAACAAGACTTTGCTATCTTTAGCCTCTTTGCTGTGCAGGGTGGAAACAGAACCGACCCCCCAATTGGAAATGCCACATCTCCACATCTCCACTCTTGACTCCTTGCTTGCCTGCTTGCTTTGAGCAGCTGCTGCGTGAACAGGCCCGGCGACCCCAGCCCAATGCAACTGTGCCCATCTCCCTACATACAGCCCCCACTCACCATTCTCCAAGAGAATCGCCCTCCCTCCCCCCAGCCCTGGCCCTGCCATAGCTGCAATGGGTACCCCCTACAAAAAAGAAAACAAGGTTTAGGGCAAACAAACAGGCACTTGTCTGGGCCCACCACATCTTGAACATTCTTACTCTTGAACATTCTTACAGCTCCACCCAAATGCTTTGCCCTTCCCTACGCCACCCACCCAGGATCTTTCTCCTCACTTGGCTCTCTTGCGCCCTGCTGGCTCCGGCTGCCATCTCCCCTACACCCATGGCAGTCTCATGTGCCCCAGCATCATCATAGATACAGATACATGATGCATGCATACATGCATACATGCATACATGCAAACATAATACATTACATACATGGCATGACATGACATGACATGACATTACATTACATTATGCATACATACATACCTACATACATACATACATACATACCTACATACATATACCATACATACATACATACATACCTACATACATACATACATACATACCTACATGCATAGATAGGTAGATAGATAAATAGGTAGACAGATAGATAGATAGATAGATAGGTAGATAGATAGATAGATAGACAGACAGATAGACATACATACAGTCTCGACATTTTAACAGCATTGCATTGAAATTTGACATTAAAAAACAGAGACACCACCAGAAATCAACGAACAAAACAACAAACCAAGCCACGCAAACCTAGAACGTGCAAAAGAAAAAGCAACTACAACCATGGAAAAATGAAGATACCCAACGACTAGTAGTTATGCAAATCCAAACAACAAAATAAGAGAAATATGCACAAATAAAAAAAAACATTGCACATAAAAATACCAGAAAGCAACACAAAATATAGCAAAGAACACAGGAGCAAAGAACATAATTTATCATAGCAGTAAGCCTAAGGATGAGAGAAAACAATCCAGAATACAAACAACATATATAGTGTGTTTTTATGTATATATATATAATTAATATTATATATATACACATAATATACACTCAACCCTAGAAAAAAAATCAGAATGATACAGAATGAGGTAAGAGAAGAAATGAAAAATACAACAGATTCGAAACCAAGAAATAAAGAGGAGATACAGATAGGGCAAAATAATGCTGAAAACAAGTAAACCAAAGATAAAGAAACAAATAGAACAAAACCATAGCATACCACTAAGTCAAATATCCCCAAATTGAAATCCCATTTTTTTTGGAACCTTTGCATTAACAGAAGCCCCCTATACAAAAAAATCTTCTTCCGTCCGACACGCGCGCGCGCAAATAAGCTCTCCAAAAGTGGATTTGGTGAGCTTATTTGCGATTTGGAGAGCTTATTTGCGCGCGCGGAGAGCTTATTTGCGCTCGCGCGTGTCGGACGGGCGCGCGCGTGTGTCGGACGGGCGCGCGCGTGAACACGCGCGCGCATCTTGGCCTTGCTTGCGCACCTCGCGCGCGCGCGCCTCTATTTGCTCGCGCGTCTCGCGCGCGCGCCTGTCGTTGCTCGCGCACCTCGCGCGCGCACGTGTTAAATGCTCGCGCGCTCGCGCTGCGCACCCCGCAGCTGGTGAGGCACCATATATGAATTCATATGTTTTGAATCAAGCCAAGTAATAAATAAGTGTTTCCAGGATGTTTCCCAGATATTTTCCAGATATTTGGGTACCGACACCGGAATAAATATCTGGAAAAGAATAAAATACCTGTAGTTCGGTGATGGGTCCCAGATATTTTCCAGGTGCCCAACTTGTCTATCTGGGGGTTTCTGTGCCGATTTTTTGGCTGACATGAAGCCTGAAAAAAGAAGTTGGGCATTGAGAATCCCCACCAATTTATTAATAACACCCAAAGCAACCTGGTAAATTGTAACCAGCTCTTTGCGACGTTAGTGGAAATGGTACTAAGTATAGGGAATAACGCCAGAATGTTTTTGTTTCAGAGCAATGATTAATGATTAAATGTTAATGGGTGATTTTCCGAACTTGGATACGGTCATAAAGCAAGATGCTTTCCATGTTGAATTTGGGAGGTGTAACGGGCAGGAATGTATATATAGCGTCAATCAACATCACCCCGTCACCTCCACCGACATGCTTGCCCACCAAAGTTGTTGAATCAGGGGGGCCTAAGATACGATGAAATGTGGTTGACGAATCACACTGTTTATAATGTTGCCTCAAACATAGGTGATTTTGCCATTCCTTCATTTAGTCTCTCAACTGTTGGTCTTATGATTTTAGCATCATTGGCTGCAACCATGCCCAAACACAAGCATTTTCCTAGTGAGAAAAATATGCTAGATTGCATGACACATATTGCTGACACAGAGGTGTAGATTGAATCAATGTGTTTTCGATCAATCTCCTCTGATTGGGGCTTTCGATCAGCACATACCTCGTATGATCATGTAACTACCATTACAGTTGAAACCACCTGGTTGGTGGTTTCATGATTATTTCATCGCAGCTGCGTCGCAGCTTGGATGATGTTTTTTTACATGTTTTTTACCCTCTGACTGGGCATAAAGTATGTTCTGATTGGTGATTCCTCAACTATATACTGGTTGATGGTTGGAACATGAATTTTATGACTTCCCTTATCTTGGGAATGTCATCATCCCAACTGACTTTCACTCCATCATTTTTCAGAGGGATAGGCCCGGGATAGGGCTCAACCACCAACCAGAATATTATAAACCATCATTAACCATATATAATAACCAGTAATATTAACGATTATTAACAGTATATAAAACCAACCAATTGTAGGGCTCTACCACCAACCAGTCATGTTTAATCACTCGCATCACTCGCCACAGGCAGGCATTCCACAGACGATTCGTAAGCCGCTGACTCTACCTGAGAGGTGGACAGACCTTCGGCTGAATATATATATATAATATTATTGTATCATTTATATCTATATCTATTCTATATCTACTTATTTCACATATATATAATCTATATTATTAATACATCCGTTGATTTACAAAGGGAGCTTCAACAACTTTCTGAGACTGCAATTAGTGGGCGTTGGGGTTTCAAACGTCTTCGACCGTGGAGCACCTAAGGCTAGCGAACGTATGTCAAATCATGCTTTGTGTCTTTGTTTTGTGTGTTTCAACATGACACCCGATCCCATGCATGATGATGCCCCAAAGGCGGTAAGTTCACAGCGGCATATCAGCACAGCAGATGTGAACTGGCCTGTTGAGCCTACATGGTCCCCACGTGCTGCTGACTCTTCTTAGTCTCAGAAGTGGCAAGTCCCCAGCTGAATGTATTGAAGCAAATCACTTACTTGCATGCATTCATTCATACATTCATAATCATTCATAACTATTTTCTTTCATAGAGGTGGTTGCCCTATGCGGCTTAGATCTGTGCACATGCCGTGTCCGGGATTTCTCGAGGACTGCTACGAAGACGACACTGAAACCCATGCCCTGGGCATGGGCATCGCAGTGGGTTCCAAGCTCTTCTCTCGCTTCAGCGACAAGGAGATGATGGGGGAAACCATGGGAAAAAAGCAAACATAGGATGATGCGTGATGATGCTAAATATATAATGTAATATGCTATTAAGGCTAATGATGACGCGACTCAGCTATTATAATGCTAATTATAGCCATTACTTATGATGCTACTCAGTAAGGGTAATTGTGATATAATTATAATCTGGTTGGTGGTTTGGGAAATTTTTATTTTTCCATATATATATATACACATATATACTGTATATATATATATATTGGGAATGTCATCATCCCAGCTGACGAACTCATATTTTTCAGAGGGGTAGGGCTCAACCACCAACCAGTAATGTAATTATAGAACTATCCCTTAACGTGGCCTCAATTCTGCCTGGGATCATGGTCCAGGTGGCTTGCTGTGAACGTGGTGACTTGATGAATTGAAGTGATTGCTTACGTTTCTGTGAGGCTGATCCATATATATATATAACCCCATATCAACGTAAACAAAGGCCAATTGTATAATATACACACATAAGGGGGCGTCTCATTGGGAGTGAAGTGACTTTACGTATTGTGACATCCTCGGAATCTCCAGATGTCATCACTTGAATCGCCATCAGCCGCTATCAGTACTGTTTATCCCAACTCCACTTACGTGATTTGGGCTAGCGCATAAGAGTACATAGTTGCAACCAATTGTAGTCACTAATTAGTTTCTACAGGTCACTACGTGTCTACTAATCACTTAAATCACGATGTCTATACTCTTTTCCGATCACGGCATACAATTCTTCAAATAGGAAAAACAACTGCCACCGCCAGGATGAAGCCATAGACTATGTGGTTCAGGCCTGGCATGGAGCGTAGCCTCCGAAAAGATAGAGGCTACTTATCTCTTGGCAAAACATGCTATATATATATAGAGAGATAGAGTAGCTTCCAAAGCAATGCTTACATATGGTTATCACTACACATGTTATGTTGGCAGTTCTTTTCTAGTTTTTCTCTTTCTTTTCTGAGGTTGCCCTGTTTTTATCACTGTTAGATTTGCAGGGGGCATTTTTTGCCGTTTAACGTTGGGAGATTTCGGGACTGCTTATCCTCGAATGAAATACCATAACTTTGAAAACTCACCATGCTATTAATGGGTAAACCACAATTTTCATTCAATAGCTATGTTTGTTTACCAGAGGGCAGCTTTGAAAACATTTGAAAACTCACAAGAATGTTTTACAGTCAATCATAACATGCATGTTTCTTTTTTGCGGGGGTGGCATTGTAGGGAAAAATGCCTAGATATTTTTGTTTATTTTTTTAAAATCTCCGTCTCCCCAACCCCGCAAAAAAGGAAAAACAAACCGTGGTCGATGAACCACTAACTTTTCCAGAACATCCCTAAACAGCAAAATCGGAAGTTTGATGATTTCTGCTTGGGATTTTATGTGCCACGCATCGCTTCTGCAGATCGTCGCCTCCTCCAATTTGGTCTACAGACCTCAGTTGAACTTTGTCTTGGTGGTGAGGAAGCTGCACTTGCGCCCTGGGCCTTGATGAAGCACCAAGTCTTTCTGATGAGTTGATTGGAAGTGGCCACATTGTTGATGAGTATTTAAGCGAGTTAAGCAAAGTAGGTCACAAAAAAAACACTGAAGTAATTGTGCCGATACCAACTCTATACTTCCAAAATCTTGCAAAGATCCACATTGGTGTTACTACAAACAGACAATTTTCATCAGTTTTCTCAGTCAAAAGATATCGCTCGCTCCTTTCGGGGTTGCCCCAGTAATAAGTTGGGCCGCCCCTTTCGTGCCCCTGAGATCTGAGTTTGTTTGTTTGGCCGCAAATGTTTGGATAACTGGTTGGTGGTGACTGGAACATTGGTTTAGTATGGGGTAATGATGGTTAATAGTGGTTAATAATGGCTAATAATCACTGGTTGGTTGTGACTGGAACATTTGGATCATTTTTCCCATCATATTGGGAATGTCATCATCCCAACTGACGAACTCCATCATTTTTCAGAGGGGTAGGGCTCAACCACCAACCAGATAACTATTGGTCAAAGTTATCTTCCAGTAACACAAACCAAAACAAACCTGATCTTCCACCTGAGTCGGTGCGGTTTCAGCTGAGTCCAAGGTGTGATGTTTCTAGGTGCCCAATGACAGCTGGCTAAATGTGTTTATAACTGTAGAGTGTTACTAGGGTTATATACTAGTATTCATTGTGATTACTGTATAAATAGCCATGAGGCATGATGAGGCTATATCAATGGGAATTTCAGGATGCCAAAATGGAGGTACTGTACCATATAAGGCCATATTTCCTGGGGATATTCCCTTACATAGCCCTTACACTACATAGGCCTTATATATGGTAGGTACCTCCAGTTTAGGTTCCTGAAATGACCAGTGACTATAAGCCAACACCAACTCATAGCTAGGGTCACCACCAAGTAGACACTAGAGACTTTTGAAAATCAGGGTCATTGCCTTCCATAGAACATTGCAAAGGATGTTAGGCCAAACCCGCTGAGAAGCCCCAACAAAAAATAATAGCATCATCCGCAGAAAAATTGAATAGCTCCGCAGTAATTCAATTTTGGAAAGCATATGATATTATACCAGTAAATATATCCGCAATAATCCCAACAGTGAACATCAGTACCCAATAGTTCAATTGGATCATATTGGATAAAGATCGCTGGGGAAGCGTCCATTCTTGGCTTCGATGGAGCTTCATCACTTCCCAGGCAGGAAAGTCATTGGCAAGCACCAAAATGGGATCAAGGTCGGGCTGGCGCGTGGGTTGCATCATTTTGGAACGCATCCTCTATATATTTTTTCACATTTATATTATACATATTATATATATTATATGTGTATATGTATTTGTATATATATTATACATATTTTAATATTATATTTACATTATATTTATATTTCTATTTATATTTATCTATATCTATATTTGTCTATATGTATATAAATATATATATATATATATAGTGTCTAGAGATGTTCCAGGTTCCGGGTCCTACCCCTCCCCACCCATGGTCATGGTACCCCTCTCCCCCTGTGGTATGGGGGGGTCTGACCGTATCATGGTTCTCCCCCCCACCTGGTGGGGTGGGTGGGTGGGGAGGAGGTTACATGTGAAGTAAATACAAGGAATAAAACATGGATTAGCAATATAATAACCAAGCGCCAGATGAGTCTAACTGGGTGGCTTATACACATATTTATATATAATATACATAGATATAGATAGATATAGTTTATGTTTTAAATATATGGAATACACAGGTTATTTGTATCTATATATGCATATTTACACGATTGTCGTACTACACATTGATATATATATATATATATTTATTTAGATAGATAGATAGATAGATAGGTAGATAGATAGATAGATAGATACTGTACTGTATATAATATATAAATGTAAATTTGTAGCCTGGAGGTCGTTGCTACGTATTTTTAGGTAGTACAATAACAGTACGATGGATTAGGTAGTGACTGTGGTTGCCTCGCCCCTGTGGTGGGGGGTGTGGGTTCCGGTGGTTTTTGATGCTGCACAAGAGTATGGATAATAGCGTGTATATATATATATATGCGTGTGTGTGTGTATTTCAAAATGGAACATACGTGTTATATAGCTATGCTACAAGTACTATATAGGTTCTATGTATGGATAAAATACTGGCAACTGATGAATATTATATATAGATACGCTATGGCTTGTATAGGCATGCCAGGTAGAAAAGAAGCATGTAGATACATGGACAGCACGTAGGTCGTATGTAGGTAGCATATAGCTTTGAAATGCTGCAAATAGGGTGCTAGTCGAAGGTTGTGGCTCTGAAATGCTGCAAATAGCATGAACATGGGACTCTCTGAATTTCAATTGCTGGAAATAGTATGCAAATGGTCGGTTTTTTGGGGGAATGGGGTACCGGGGGTGCCATACCATTGGGGGGGGCAGGGAACCGGGAACATATACACCCTCTGGTAGTCCACGTGGGCTGGGAAATCCTCGGTTGAGCTTAAGCCTCCCTCTCTCTCTATCTCTCTCTCATATCCATATATCCATACTCCGTGCACTTCATATAAATATAGATAAATATATACATATATAAATTATATATACATATATACATACATACATATGTGTGTAGACATATACATATACATATATATATGTATATATATATATATATATTTGCACATAGGCATATCCATATTGTGTGTCAATTCTACACGGAAACAATTCATATTGACCTGGTGAGATTTTTCCCGTCTTTTTCTTCCGAGATCCCACGCCAGGTCCCAATTGTCCCATGCAAATGGCCGAGCAGCTGCACGCCTTTGACAAATGGGATCCGCCGGGGTCAGCCGGCTTGACAAAGACCAGACCAGTGGCCAGAGATTTGTTCGGACACAGATACCGTCGGTAAACTAACAAAGATGAACCATGAATATGAACCAAGTATCCATAAATACTTAGTTATATTTAGCTGTATTTTTGTATTTTTTATTTTTTTGGGGGCCTGAGATATTTTTTTGTATTTTTTTGTTTGGCTAAGCTATTTGAGAATCTCGTTTGCTTCAACAATGGCTGATTTGGAATACCCTTTGCAACCCTAACTTGTGACATCTAAGACATGTACGGAACATGTTGTTTGTTTCCTTGGTCCTTTCCTTTGCAAATTTCATACATATTCGTACACTTTTTTTCACTTTCCATTGGCTCTTTCAATTTTTCTCGTCGAGGCAGCTGAAGAGGTATTTGAAATTATTGCTGGTTTATTTTTATTTCCCGTTTGCAATTTGGGTCAGTAGCTGTCAAACACAACAGCAGCATTGCTGCTTTTGCAATGGCAGATGGCTTCGATCCAAGTGGCATGTCTTGGGCTTGAAATGGGGCTCACAGTTCCGTATTTCGTGTCATCACCCAGAGCTGGGAACTTGGTTGCGCACGCCATGGGGTGTTGACTGCAGGGCTCTAGCCAAAGCGGATTGACAAGCGTCTGAGCAAACAATGAAATCACAAAGCCCATTTACATGCAACAAAAAACAAAAGCATGAAAGGACAAAGGCGGGCTCTGGAGCTTCAGGACGGCGGTGGCTGTTCGGCTGCTTCGGCTCAGCATGTCCACGCAGCGAGGAGGGCTGTTTCGGCCCTTCAGACTCGGCTCTTGCTTGCGAAGTGTTTTCAAATTTTGACCTCAAGTGAGGCTGCTTCGGCATTAGCGGTAGCTGTTTCAGCCAAGCCCTTGCAGCATCAGGTAAGCTGCTTCCGGCTGTCAAAGCTGCTTTGGCTTGTTTTGACGCTGTTCCGACTTCTCACTTTGAAGCTGCCTTACATACTTAGTCAGTTTTTGTACATAGCAGGTCGCGATGGACTTTTCGCAAAAATAGGAATTGGCTGGGGTGGGTTGAAGCGTCAGGGTAAAGACTTTGTGTTTCTGGTCGAATCTACCAATGGATTGAATCTAAGAGACGATTACCCACAAATATTGGGAGATTCAACGAAAGCTTTGATTTGGAGACAGTCTTGGCTACTTAATATGTGTTTTTTTGTCCTCTCCTTAGGAGCATCAAAAAATTCAACGGACCTCGAATCAACGGGTGGGAATGTCCTCTCCTTAGGAGCTTCGGGGTTGTCCTTGAACCTCCTAAGGGGAGGACGACAAGGGGACGAAACTGGAATACTCTTAAGTATGAGTTTTTCAAAGGCCTTTGTCCCATTGTTGTCCTCTCCTTAGGAGCCTCGGGGACGTCCTTGAACCTCCTAAGGACAGGACGAATTGTCCTCTCCTTAGGAGCATGCCTGAGATCCGCTTCGCTTCAGGAGCCTCGGCTCAAGCACTTCACGGAAGCTTGTGGCTGAAAACTGGCCACACCATCTCTACGCCAAAGAGGTGGCAACTGTCTCGGCTACTGTAGCTGTAGCTGCTTCGGCCACTTAGCTGCTTCGGCTTTTGGTGGCTGCTTTGGCCACAAGTATGCCACCGCGGCATCGACCAATGTCAGATCAGCTGGAAAGGGCCGGATCTTAGCCACATAGACTGCGGCGGGGTGCTGTCTTCAAAGTCGGATGTGAGATGCAAAAAAATGACAAGTGGAAAAGTGGATAAACATGCGTTGCGGCAGCTGCAGACACCCTGTAGACTCAGTTCAGCAAACAGCAATTGATTTATAACAGGTGCAATTTCAATTTCAATTTCAAGGCGTTTCCTTCTGCAGCTGTTTCAGCCCAAGAAAGCTGACTCAGAATCAGCCAGCTGTGCACTCTGTAGTGCTAAGGACCCTGAAAATCAAGCAAGCTGAAAGAGATCTGCGCTTAGTCCAAATACGGATAGTTGGAACTTTGGGGCTCGAAAAGCGGTTTCAGAAGCACCGCAAGTTGAAATGCAGCAAGTGGGGATCTCGTGGGCCGCCCATGTTGCATATTAAGAAAGAGGGGGCCAAAGATGACTTTGCCAAAGCTGAAGTCGGCTTGGTATTCCAACCGTGGCTGTTTCAGCCAAGGTCTGTGTCGGATTTGTTGGATGGTGGCTGGTTCGGCCATCAACAGGTCTGTTTCAGTTTTTAACCCAATTGCTTCAATCAAAACGCAAAAAGATATTTGCAAAACTCGTCTGCTACCGGGGGAAAAAGCGTGGCCACGGCTCTTGAGATATTTTTCTCAAAGTTGGTGTTGAGCACTGTGTCGCATATCTTTGTCGCGACTAAGTTGCAGTCTTAAGTTTGCGTTGGTCTTTTACATTCTACTTCAAGGTTGTTTATTGTGAAGCCCCTCTTGTTATGTTGCGGCAAAGTTCAAGGAAGAAAGACGTGAAAGGTATTTGTTATTCTCGTTTGCACCTCTTCCTTTTTGTCGGATTTCTCGTTGACGGCCCAAAATAAAAAAAAAACAAAAATACAGCTAAATATAAGTAAGAATATACTACTAATATCTATTAGTGCTAGTAACATCACCAATTATTAATACTCCCTATGGATCCATGGCCACTGTCTGAGAAGGTACGGCTAACCCTCCAAATCAAAGATTTTTGTTTCCCCAGTCCCACTTCCTAAGAAGGTAATTGGATCCACAGGGAGAGTAAACTAAGAAAGATGTGGAAAACCACTGGTATCCCTATGTTCCACATCTATGTTAGTTTAACCCATGGTATAAGACAGATCATTAAAAAAAAGCATGTATACCTGATGATGCAATGATGAGGATGATGAGGATGATGAGGATGATGATGATGAGGATGATGATGATGATGACGAGGATGAGGATGAGGAGGATGATGATGATGATAATGATGATGATGATGATGACGAGGAGGAGGATGAGGATGATGATGATGATGATCATCATGATGATGATTATGATGATGATGATGATGATGACGAGGATGAGGATGATGATGAGGATGAGGATGATGATGATGATGATGATGTTGATGATGATGATGATGATGGTTATGATGATGACGAGGATGACGATGACGATGAGGATGATGATGATGATGATCATGATGATGATGATGATGATGATGACAACGATGACGACGATGACGACTATGACGAAGAGGATGATGATGGTGATGATGATGATGATGATCAGGAGGATGAGGAGGATGAGGAGGATGAGGAGGATGAGGAGGATGAGGAGGATGAGGATGAGGAGGATGAGGATGAGGAGGATGAGGAGGATGAGGAGGATGAGGAGGATGAGGAGGATGAGGATGATGAGGATGATGAGGATGATGGGGATGATGAGGATGAGGATGAGGATGATGATGATGATGATGATGTTGATGGCGATGATGGCGACGATGACGATGACGATGACGATGTGTATATCTTTTTGTCTCTTGATGTCTTTGGGATTTGTGTGCATATATACGTATATAAAACATATACACATATATGTATATATATTTACACATACATATAGTACACAATATCAGGTCCACATTCGTAAGTCCAGACTTGTTTGCACCTATTTGTATCCCAGCGCCAGGCAACATATAAAATTGTATGCCTTGCTTTGCTAATGAATATTGCAATCGCTCAAAAGGATTTAAGTCGATGGCTCAGCTTGTGAATGCCTCATGCTGCAAGCCATGTCCATCCTAATGACCAACAACCCATCCATGACGTGCTATGACCACATGTTTCTGGTCCCAATCCCTCGGTTTCACTGTTTGGGCGAAATGCCATCGGATAAAAACGGGTCAATATACCAGCCGGTAACAAATAACCACATCCGAATCCATACGATAGCCGGACGACACTGATGCCCAATATGAGTTCCAGATCCAGATTGGTTTTGGTGCCGTCTCCATTTGGGGTCGAAACCAACATGTTTTGACCAAGAATTGATGGGACTATCGGCACCACGGACTTTGGTTTCGCACAGCGGGTCAAAACCCATGGGTTTCGTTCAGACTTTCCTGAAATCAATCCTATTGACATGGAATGTTGATATACCATCAATGGTTGTAATGTTTCCCACAGACACCTTGTGTTGCCCAAGCCCAGAATAGCGTAAATTACAAGGATTTTTTGTTCACACTATACATCTCATATAAATTCTCCCCCACCACCGTTAAACTTCTACATTCATTGAAGATTCTTCAATAAGGGTTTAATTCTCCCACCCACGTTAAACTTCTACATTCATTGAAGATCTTCAATAAGGGTTTAATTCTCCCACCCCCGTTAAACTTCTACATTCATTGAAGATCTTCAATAAGGGTTTAATTCTCCCACCCCCGTTAAACTTCTACATTCATTGAAGATCTTCAATAAGGGTTTAATTCTCCCAACTCCGTTAACCTCTTACACCCATTGAAGATCTTCAATCATCATCATCATCATCATCAACATGCCGGGAACGTCCCTGTGAATCTCCGGGCAACACAAGGCGTCTGGCCGTAATATTTCATAATATGGAAAATAAGGACTGTAATCAGCCATGGTTGCTTCCATGTTTTCACTTGTTCCATATTATGTTCCAATGTCTATATATATAAATATACCCTTTGGTAATCACATGGCTGGCTGGAAAATCCCCAAACTGAATGGAGGCCTAGTTTGCTGGGACAGTCATCGAACTGGGGGATTCTTCAGCAAACCATGGAACTGATTACTGGAGCTTATAGAATTAGATTATATAGTGTGCCGCAGCCCGTTAAAACACCATTAAACCAGCATTCAAACACCATTAAACCACCATTCAAACACCATTAAAACCAGCGCTCAAACACCATTAAAACCAGCGCTCAAACACCATTAAAACATCTATAAACAATCATTAAACCACCATTTTTGTTGCAACATCCACCAAGGGGGTAAAACGCCGTCGGATTTCCCAAATTCGGAACAGAAAATCGCATCTGGTAGGTCCGACAGATTGGAGACAGAGGGCCAAGGCCAGATTTCACGAGGGGAAACTAAGATTTTAAAGCGAACATTGCGATGCGATTGATATATTCCGACAGTTGGATTAGTTGGATTATCATGTTTTTCAAGAATTGTGGTAACCCATTATAATATATTATATAGTTGGGTACTCATCCAACAAGAATTGGTTTTGAATTGTTATAACCGGGAAATAGTGATGTTCTTCTTCACCCAAGCTGGTTTAAATTGCACCGGTTTTTTTCGCTCTGAAAGTCTGACTTGGCTGAAACATATCATTATTTATAGTGGTTCTAAGGTTTTCCAGCCAGTCATGACTGATTGCGAAGTGGTTTTACTTTCAGGGGTTGTCTTCTATGATTTCGGCCGAGAATCCGGTCCGGATTGGGGGGCCCAGGTCGAAACCCAGCTATTTAAGTGAGATATGCGATATGAGATATGGTGCATGCTTGTGGCCTTGTTACCAACATATGTTCATATATGTTCTTTGGATGGATCCAAACTGTTAAACTAATGTCCATCTCATTATGGCAGGTAGATTTCTATTCATCATATCGGCTAAAGTGAGTATTTTTCAGGGTGCAAAGTATTCAAGATTGACCATGAGCCAAAGTACATATTTGAGGTTCCACTTTCTCGCTGAACTTATATAAATACAATGTCCCATACTGAAGAATACTGAAGAATCACCATGACATTCAATCTCACATGATTGATGGAAAAGTCAGCAGAGAAAAAACAAATCCATCGACCCACTAGCTGGCCCCCCCCATTTGTGATGGTTCTTCGTTTATAAACCCCATAGTTCCTAGTTGGTGCATTCTATTTATAGACGATATTTGATTAATTGGGCGCAGTGATGATTGAGTCATTATAATATATATATATAACATGACTATAACTTATTCTTATAGCTGCAATAGGCCCATCTAAAGCCTAGTTGTTGGAGTGATGTTCACCAACTTAAAAGAACATATAAACGGGGCCAGGTTTATGGACTTTGCTGGACGTGACTTGGCAACGATGGGTTATTTTTTTTTGGAGGGTTGGATAACTCGAAAATTATGGAAAATCACGATTCACCATGGATAACTTTGGAAAACCTATGGAACACATGGAAAACTCTGGAACAGCACTATGGATAACTATTGCTTGGAATTCACCGGAAACTAATGTTTTTAAAAGGTAAATCATCTAATACATCATCCATAAATGGGCAATTTTCCGTAAAAAAATCACTAGGCTGATTTGACCAGCAGAAATATCGCGTTGTTTTCCGTGGAAATTTACCATTCATTGTCATTGGAACAATGATGATCATCCATTGAAAACTGTGTTTCCGTCCCATTTGGAGACCCTTTCGCGGACGTCCGTTGTGCCATTTTTGGCGTTTCTGGTGGGGCTCCCATGGGACTTCACACCTCACCTGAGCACGCGACTTCATGACCTGGTGCCCCATGATGCCGTTTTGAGCGGCCTTACCTGAAGTTCGACAATTAAAAAAAGTATCCAGCCATCGATCAGATGCAACAAATTAAGGAAATTAGCAGCCGAAACATGTCCGTCAGAGCCGAGGTTTGTTCTGAAAAAATCAATGAATCGTTTCATCCCTTTTGTTATTTTTGATCGCACCTTGATAGCGGTGTTTTGTCCAGTTTCATGAGGTCTCATTCTGCCAGTCACATTTGCCGGGCTGTCGAATGATATTCCCCCTACAGATGGCATTTTCGTATCGATGATATGTTTGATTTGACCATGGTCGTTTCCACCACAACTACCATGCATACAGGGTGTTCATCTCTCAAATCCTACAAGGAGAGGGGAATGGTGGCATTGTCCCTTTAAAAAGTCGAGCCAATTTGCAGAAAGAGCCTGGTTGGATTTGATTCGCTGAACATAGGGGCATTAAACATGTTTGATTAGTTGGCTATTTACCAGCTAGCGCGTTCACTATTTTAAACGCACTTGAAGTTTGGTTCAGTGAACTCCGCAGCTTAAGTGTGGTGAATGCCCTTTTCGGTAAGTTATCATGGCAAATCCTGAACAGCCCCCAGGACTGTTACGTCTCGGGTACCATTGGCTTGGCTTACGTGGGCACCCTGTGCCAAATGGAGAAGCCCCTGGGCGCGGAGATGGCGATGGGTCAACGTTGCGAACTGAGCCAACTGTTTTTTGGTTATAGATGATATAGGTTGTAAATTAAATACCCTCAAGTACGAGGTGTCTAGGATGGGTACCCCCCTGGGGGTAAATTCTGGGGTTCTAACATGGGTTGCCGAGATGATTGTAGAACCCTGGCCCCCCCCCACTGTAGAACCCTGGAGGTTTTGGTTCCTGGAGCTGAGATTTTTTGATATTGTAATTTGCTGTTTCCGACCACTTTAGATTTCTATGGATCATGTGGAAGTAGTTACCTGGAAAACCTGGTGCCCATCGTTTTGGGCACTGTCCAAAGTGCCCGGAACTCTTGTCATTGGAACATGTGCCATTTTGGGAGTAGGATTTCTACGTGTGTGTATAACACTCTACGGGTATTTGTGGCATTTTTATTTTTTTCTAGACATGGTGCGCCGAAAGATAAAGTGCCGTTTCTATGTGTAAAAATTGCAATGTGACACGAAATAGGCTAGGGGCCAAAGTAGTTTGAAACAATAGGGGGCTACCGCCTTCCAGGTAATGTGGTTTTCAAGCATGCAAATCTCCTGGGCAGAAAGTTTGGGAAGTTTTTTTTGCTGAAAGGATCAACGTCGGAGTTCGTGGATCGCAGCAAACACCCGCAGACATTTTGTCGCTCAAAGGCACAATGTCAGATCACCCCGGAAAGCCTGCAAAGTGTGGCATTTGTGGCCATGAGTGCCTAGAGCCCGAGTATGACCTCTGCTTGAAACTGTGGCGGTCGAAATGCGGTCGAATGGGCACAACTTCTGCAGGCAAGCCGCGGAGGTCTGCGCATGAGAGCTTCACGCATCTCAGTTGCAGCGTCAGTTGAAGTTAACACAATCTATTGTAATGGATTTTGACAAGAAGATTTTTTGGGTTTCTTCTTGTTTCTTCCATGTTTTTTTCTGTGACCATGGGCCGATTATTTCTCACGTTTTGTTTTTCGATCTTCTTTGGCCAAATTTCGACTGAGACCTGGACATCCAATCCCTTGGTTCAGTTTGTCGGTGATTCCTTCCGTTCTTGAATCTTGGCTTTACCTGAGTGATTTGTCGTTGCGGCCCAAATTGTTGCATTGATGTTGATGGACTTGTGTGTGCTTACTGATTTTTGGGTATGTTTCTGGAAGCAGATGGATTGCCAGGATGGGAAGAAGGATCTGCATAGGTTTTGCTTGGGGAGAAGCATCATGTTGGCCTCAGGATCGTCCATCCTGGGCATCAGGGTGGAACCAGAAGAGGGACAAGGAGCTCAAGAAAGGAGGCCATCTTGATAACTTTAGGTTTTGGAGAACTAATGACATTTCATTTGGGTTTGGAGAACTCTATCCATACTCCAGCATCAACAGTGGAAGTATCTAGTATCATGCCCATGCATTGCCAAAGAGATCCAAAAGCAGGGGCCCAGCTGATGATGCCTGAAATATCCTGAAACCATTTCAGAACCTGGGTGGGTTCTTTAAATTGTTTTTTTGTTGCAATGGGCTACAAACTGGCCTGTGGTTGTGATTGTCACGACAAAGTTTCTTTTCTATCAGGTCAACAGCCATCAAAGCCCAGCGCAGTAAATGCATCAGGCGCCAGAAGGGTTTGGGTGATATTGCGTATGGCCGGTGGCTTCCCATAAAGTTCTGAAAACCTGCCCCGCAATTGCTCTTGTGGGTTTCTGTCATGATTCTAGATCCCTTCACCATTTGCTTCAAGTTTGATGCCAATTTTTGATATTTTTTTTTTAATCATTTTTGATCATGTTTGATCAGGGACTCCCATCTTTCAATCACCAAGTTTTGTCATGGTTTGTCAAGGGTTGGGGATGATCTCAGTTTATGTTTTGTGGGCAGGAGCTGCTGCAGAGAAACCGACTACCAAGGCCACAGGTGCATTTACTGGGGTGGGTTCTGGAATCATGTCCAGCATGGTTGGTAGGCCCAGGCAACGATGAAAGATGTGGGATATGATTCTAGAACCCTTCACCTTTTGCTGCAAGTTTGATGCCCATTTTTGATATTTTTTGATCATGTTTGATCATTATATCCCATCTTTCAGTTTTGTCATGGTTTGTCAAGGGTTGGGGATGATCTCAATGTATGTTTGGTGGGCAGGAGCTGCTGCAGAGAAACCGACTTCCAAGGCCACAGGTGCATTTACTGGGGTGGGTTCTGGAATCATGTCCAGCATGGTTGGTAGGCCCAGGCAACGATGAAAGATGTGGGATATGATTCTAGAACCCTTCACCTTTTGGCTTCAAGTTTGATGCCCATGTTTGATCATTTTTTGATCATGTTTGATCATTATATCCCATCTTTCAATCACCAAGTTTTGTCAAGTTTTGTCATGGTTTGTCAAGGGTTGGGGATGATCTCAATGTATGTTTGGTGGGCAGGAGCTGCTGCAGAGAAACCGACTTCCAAGGCCACAGGTGCATTTACTGGGGTGGGTTCTGGAATCATGTCCAGCATGGTTGGTAGGCCCAGGCAACGATGAAAGATGTGGGATATGATTCTAGAACCCTTCACCTTTTGCTGCAAGTTTGATGCCCATTTTTGATCATTTTTTGATCATGTTTGATCATTATATCCCATCTTTCAATCACCAAGTTTTGTCAAGTTTTGTCATGGTTTGTCAAGGGTTGGGGATAATCTCAGTTTATGTTTGGTGGGCAGGAGCTGCTGCAGAGAAACCGACTTCCAAGGCCACAGGTGCATTTACTGGGGTGGGTTCTGGAATCATGTCCAGCATGGTTGGTAGGCCCAGGCAACGATGAAAGATGTGGGATATGATTCTAGAACCCTTCACCTTTTGGCTTCAAGTTTGATGCCCATTTTTGATCATTTTTTGATCATGTTTGATCATTATATCCCATCTTTCAATCACCAAGTTTTGTCAAGTTTTGTCATGGTTTGCCAAGGGTTGGGGATAATCTCAGTTTATGTTTGGTGGGCAGGAGCTGCTGCAGAGAAACCGACTTCCGAGGCCACAGGTGCATTTACTGGGGTGGGTTCTGGAATCATGTCCAGCATGGTTGGTAGGCCCAGGCAACGATGAAAGATGTGGGATATGATTCTAGAACCCTTCACCTTTTGCTGCAAGTTTGATGCCCATTTTTGATCATTTTTGATCATGTTTGATCATTATATCCCATCTTTCAATCACCAAGTTTTGTCATGGTTTGTCAAGGGTTGGGGATGATCTCAGTTTATGTTTGGTGGGCAGGAGCTGCTGCAGAGAAACCGACTACCAAGGCCACAGGTGCATTTACTGGGGTGGGTTCTGGAATCATGTCCAGCATGGTTGGTAGGCCCAGGCAACGATGAAAGATGTGGGATATGATTCTAGAACCCTTCACCTTTTGCTGCAAGTTTGATGCCCATTTTTGATCATTTTTTGATCATGTTTGATCATTATATCCCATCTTTCAATCACCAAGTTTTATCAAGTTTTGTCATGGTTTGTCAAGGGTTGGGGATGATCTCAGTTTATGTTTGGTGGGCAGGAGCTGCTGCAGAGAAACCGACTTCCGAGGCCACAGGTGCATTTACTGGGGTGGGTGGTTCTGGTATTATGTCCAGCTTGGATGGTAGGCCCAAGCAGTTCTGAAAGATTTGGGATATGTTTCTGAGCCCTGTCATGTTGTCATTGGTGTATTGAAATCTGAGTGAAGTCTTGTCTTCGAAGTAGTAAACCCAGGGGCTTTTTGGCTTGAGAAGCACAGCGTTAGTTGGTGACTTGATTTAGAGAAACCTGTGCCGTGTCATGCCGAAATCATCGAAAAAGTCGTCCAAATGCATGGACACCGCCACAGCCGCGGATGAAGCCAGCTGGTACCGCAGTGAAGATGACTGGCCTACCATCCGAGATTTCTGCAAATCCTGGCAGGGCAACCGTGATCTGGGGATGGTGTCCGTTTTTGACCGATCCCTCAAAATGTGCAACGAATGGGCCAACCATGGACATGCAGCCTATGCGTATGATATCTCTCACAATGGTGTGAACATGGACATTTGCACAAGGGTCGGCTTCTACTTTCTCCTGTCCCTACTTCTTCGTATGGCTCCAGGAAGTTTCAGCATGTGGGCTCCACCTTGTTCCTTGTTTATTTTCCTGACCTCAAGCCTACATCGACGACACGTATTCGGAGCTGCAGGCGATGTGACGCAGTTTGCTGTCAGACTATCAAACCTGATCAGCAGCAATTGCGCCATGGCATTGAAAGCGGCCTTGAAGTTTAGGCCGGATTGTCACGTGGTGGTCGAACAACCTTCTGGATCATGGCTGTTTAAAGCCGATGTGTGGAAGGAGATCATCCAAGGGTTTTGGTTGAAAAAGACTCTGACATATCAAGGCTTGTTTGGAGGACCTCTACCCAAACCAACTCATTTGTTGCATTCGTTTGCTGCGGATGGCTTGTTTGCTCGTAAGTTGACCAAGAAATTGCGAGAATCCAAAAAGTTCAAAAAAGCTCAAAAGATCTACTATGTCAAGGATCAGGCTGGCTCAGTGACAGGCACCAAGATGTTGACCACACTTAGTGTTTACCCAAAGCGATTCACAAGCGTGATTTACAAGGCTTGGGTGGCCAACAGCCGTCAGCCCCTAGCAGCCTGACCGCTACTTCTAGGCTTCCAGCAAGTTTGAAGCCTGAAAACGATGGGGTCAGACGAAGGTATTGTACAGGTGATCATGTTGAATCCTGCAATTCAATGAAATTCAAAGGCTGGGGAAGCCAGAGACTGCTTGAGACATCAAGCGCGCCATCCTGGAAAGTGATTTTGCATGCCCCCTTTGTTTGTCTTTGTTTTGCACCCAATGTCAGGACATATTTATAATTAATAATGTTTAGATTATGATTATATATGATTATATATGATTATATCGTATGATAATATTATATATAATATTTGGGTGAGCATGATTTTGTAAATGCCACAGGCAAAGAGAGATAGACACTGTACCCCTCTGAGTTTGCCTTCTGGTGGACAGGAGAAGTAGCAGCGAAGCCTGCTTCAGATGATGCAGGCGCATTCAATGGGATGAGTGGTTCTGGTATCAAGCTCACCACTGATGGCAGCCAAAGAATCGCTTTTTTCCAAAAAAAAATGTTCATTTTTTTTTTTTGATATTTCTTGGATGTATCTTGGGACTGTAGGCAGGATACAACATCTAAAAATGTTCGCATATTTCATCATACTTCATCAATCTTCATCAATCATACTTCATCGTAAAAGTATGTAAAAGTTGATGATATTATCCCACCATTGTTGAACCAAGCCGAGAGCCCCATGGGAAGATTGTGGAAGGCCAATCCCAAAGTGAATTTGCTCGTCCCGGCTGCCCAGATGAGGGTGCATCTGGAGGAGTGAATGGTGCGTACATCAGGGAGTTGTGTGAGCCAAAAATGGCCTAAGGACATCTAAGGACATGTAAGGACAAGAGAAAAACACAAAAGGTGTCAGGAGAACTATGGCTTCATTGGTCTGATTTTTTATCTATAATTTGTTGTGATGTGTTTTCATGTTTTTTCTGGGTTTTGCATGGTTTTGCATCATTGCTGCCTCGGACTATGCTTGTGCCTCCTCGCAGGACCAGTGGATGATGCAGCTTGTGGAAAACTATCAGGTTGGGTTTGGGCTTCCAAACTTTGGACCGAACTACATGATTAAGAAAACACCAAAAATATCCAAAAATGATCAAACATGTATCTGGAGTCTGGAGGTATGTTGGATTATTGATTGAAAATAAGATGATGGGGTGAAATTTGGATGATTCACATTGATTCACCCGATATGGCTTTGGAATGCTTTGGACATTTCATCCCAGCAACAGCGTGCAGGAGCTAGTCAGACGCCTCCCAAGACGAAGAAACCGGGATCCTGGGAGAATTTATCTGCGCAACTTGAGAGATTCGATCATATGATCGCTGACCGACCTCCGGTGAACACAGATCCTTTTCCTAGTACGCCACAGAAGAAATCGAAAGGCGATCGACTTAGCAAGGTGAACAGTGAACAAGATTTTTTGGTCTGAATTGAATGTCACAGAGGCATTGAATGTCTGAATTCATTTCTTGCATGGCCCCTGTTATTTCCACTTTTTGGGCAATGGTATTTGTGAGCACTCCTGCATGAAACTGCTGCTCTGTTGCGCTCCCAAGCTTGCCCAGGTGGTGCTACTGATGTGGCTGGCACGAAGGGGCCTTCTGGTGGAGAGGATGGTGGCTTTGCGTTGACATGGGTGGGGTCTAAGATGGTTTCCTCAACCCCTGGGTGGAGATAGGCTGGGTGTTTTTTCAGATGATATGATTCCAGAACCCTGGGGCGTATTACGAATGGTATTCTAGAGCCCACCTTGTTTCTTTTTCATTCTTTTTGATCATGTTTCAACACCAGGGAGTCCATGGGGATCAAGTTGCTGTGCAACTTGCATCAATTTCCAAACATATTTCAAAGATATATATATATATTTATATTTAGCTTTGTGTTGACATGGGTGGGGTCTAAGATGGTTTCCTCAACCCCTGGGTGGAGATAGGCTGGGTGTTTTTTCAGATGATATGATTCCAGAACCCTGGGGCTTATTACGAATGGTTTTCTAGAGCCCACCATGTTTCTTTTTCATTCTTTTTGATCATGTTTCAACACCAGGGAGTCCATGGGGATCAAGTTGCTGTGCAATTTCTATCAATGTCATACAATGTCCAAGCATAGTTCAAAGATATTTGAAGCCACACCTGCCTTACAAATGGAATTCAACTTGGCACTGATAAGTGCCTCTGGGTGTTTCTGTCTACTGTAGTGATTTCCTTCCCAGCAAAGCCCAGGTGGTGCTACTGATGTGGCTGGCACGAAGGGGCCTTCTGGTGGAGAGGATGGTGGCTTTGCGTTGACATGGGTGGGGTCTAAGATGGTTTCCTCAACCCCTGGGTGGAGATAGGCTGGGTGTTTTTTCAGATGATATGATTCCAGAACCCTGGGGCTTATTACGAATGGTTTTCTAGAGCCCACCATGTTTCTTTTTCATTCTTTTTGATCATGTTTCAACACACTTGCATCCATTTCCAAGCATAGTTCAAAGATATATATATATAAATATATTTAGCATTATTTAGCTTTGTGTTGACATGGGTGGGGTCTAAGATGGTTTCCTCAACCCCTGGGTGGAGATAGGCTGGGTATTTTTTCAGATGATATGATTCCAGAACCCTGGGGCTTATTACGAATGGTTTTCTAGAGCCCACCATGTTTCTTTTTCATTCTTTTTGATCATGTTTCAACACACTTGCATCCATTTCCAAGCATAGTTCAAAGATATATATATATATATATTTAGCATTATTTAGCTTTGTGTTGACATGGGTGGGGTCTAAGATGGTTTCCTCAACCCCTGGGTGGAGATAGGCTGGGTGTTTTTCCAGATGATATGATTCCAGAACCCTGGGGCTTATTACGAATGGTTTTCTAGAGCCCACCATGTTTCTTTTTCATTCTTTTTGATCATGTTCCAACACCAGGGAGTCCATGGGGATCAAGTTGCTGTGCAATTTCTATCAATGTCATACAATGTCCAAGTATAGTTTAAAGATATTTGAAGCCACACCTGCCTTACAAATGAAATTCAACTTGGCACTGATAAGTGCCTGTGGGTGTTTCTGTACACTGTAATGATGTCCTTCCCAACAAAGCCCAGGTGGTGCTACTGATGTGGCTGGCACGAAGGGGCCTTCTGGTGGACAGAAGGGTGGCTTTGCGTTGACATGGGTGGGGTCTAAGATAGTTTCCTCAACCCCTGGGTGGAGATAGGCTGGGTGTTTTTTCAGATGATATGATTCCAGAACCCTGGGGCTTATTACGAATGGTTTTCTAGAGCCCACCATGTTTCTTTTTCATTATTTTTGATCATGTTTCAACACCAGGGAGTCCATGGGGATCAAGTTGCTGTGCAACTTGCATCAATTTCCAAACATATTTCAAATATATATATATATTTATATTTAGCTTTGTGTTGACATGGGTGGGGTCTAAGATGGTTTCCTCAACCCCTGGGTGGAGATAGGCTGGGTGTTTTTTCAGATGATATGATTCCAGAACCCTGGGGCTTATTACGAATGGTTTTCTAGAGCCCACCATGTTTCTTTTTCATTCTTTTTGATCATGTTTCAACACCAGGGAGTCCATGGGGATCAAGTTGCTGTGCAATTTCTATCAATGTCATACAATGTCCAAGCATAGTTCAAAGATATTTGAAGCCACACCTGCCTTACAAATGGAATTCAACTTGGCACTGATAAGTGCCTCTGGGTGTTTCTGTCTACTGTAGTGATTTCCTTCCCAGCAAAGCCCAGGTGGTGCTACTGATGTGGCTGGCACGAAGGGGCCTTCTGGTGGAGAGGATGGTGGCTTTGCGTTGACATGGGTGGGGTCTAAGATGGTTTCCTCAACCCCTGGGTGGAGATAGGCTGGGTGTTTTTTCAGATGATATGATTCCAGAACCCTGGGGCTTATTACGAATGGTTTTCTAGAGCCCACCATGTTTCTTTTTCATTCTTTTTGATCATGTTTCAACACACTTGCATCAACTTCCAAGCATAGTTCAAAGATATATATTTAGCATTATTTAGCATTATTTAGCTTTGTGTTGACATGGGTGGGGTCTAAGATGGTTTCCTCAACCCTTGGGTGGAGATAGGCTGGGTGTTTTTTCAGATGATATGATTCCAGAACCCTGGGGCTTATTACGAATGGTTTTCTAGAGCCCACCATGTTTCTTTTTCATTCTTTTTGATCATGTTTCAACACCAGGGAGTCCATGGGGATCAAGTTGCTGTGCAATTTCTATCAATGTCATACAATGTCCAAGCATAGTTCAAAGATATTTGAAGCCACACCTGCCTTACAAATGGAATTCAACTTGGCACTGATAAGTGCCTCTGGGTGTTTCTGTCTACTGTAGTGATTTCCTTCCCAGCAAAGCCCAGGTGGTGCTACTGATGTGGCTGGCACGAAGGGGCCTTCTGGTGGAGAGGATGGTGGCTTTGCGTTGACATGGGTGGGGTCTAAGATGGTTTCCTCAACCCCTGGGTGGAGATAGGCTGGGTGTTTTTTCAGATGATATGATTCCAGAACCCTGGGGCTTATTACGAATGGTTTTCTAGAGCCCACCATGTTTCTTTTTCATTCTTTTTGATCATGTTTCAACACACTTGCATCAACTTCCAAGCATAGTTCAAAGATATATATTTAGCATTATTTAGCATTATTTAGCTTTGTGTTGACATGGGTGGGGTCTAAGATGGTTTCCTCAACCCCTGGGTGGAGATAGGCTGAGTGTTTTTTCAGATGATATGATTCCAGAACCCTGGGGCTTATTACGAATGGTTTTCTAGAGCCCACCATGTTTCTTTTTCATTCTTGATGATCATGTTTCAACACCAGGGAGTCCATGGGAATCAAGTTGCTGTGCAATTTCTATCCATCTCATTCAATTTCCAAGCATAGTTCAAAGATATTTGGCTTTGCATTGACATGGGTGGGGTCTAAGATGGTTTCCTCAACCCCTGGGTGGAGATAGGTTTGTTTTTTTCCAGATGATATGATCCCAGAACCCTGTGAGCGGTTTACCATGAGAAATGAAGTGCTACATGAAAATGGTACTTGGATATACTTGGATAGGATGGCTGGGGTTTCTTCAGTGATGTCCTTCAACCATATTTATGGTTAGGGATGGAGCCCATGTCTTTCAGGTGAGTAGGTCTGAGATCCCATCAGGTTTCTTTTGAACAAGGTGTCACACCGTCTTGCAAGAGCTGTCCCCAGCCCTGTCTGTGTGAGGTGATCAACATCTGGACGCTGAAGACATCCTGACGCAACAGATGATCATGTGGGCTGAGCAGCAGTCGAACGAGGGTGCCTACCTTGAGTTTGCTGACATCTTCTTCCTTGCTGAGATTTTGAAGATCAAACTCAAGATGTTCGTCTATGCTGAAGGACAGCCGATTTTCCTCCAGATCTCTATTGTTAATTTTGTTCAACCCCTTTGATGTTGCAGTTGAACACCAAATCAAGCTGGCTGGAACTATGGTTTGAGATTATGAAAAAAACCTGAGTCTTGCTTGGTCCATGACCCTTTGATTCGCTAGTTTATGTATGTTTTTGTAAAGGCCCTATTTTGTACCTCGCTCAATATATATATATATATAGGCTCAGCGTTTCCTGAACCCTGGCAAGTTGTCCCTTGCGCAGGGCAGATGCAGTTGATGGAGCCGCTTGACTTTGTCCAAGGGATCTTCCCGCAGGCAGAACTCGAGCTCAACTCCGAGTCAGATGATCAGCCCACTGCGGTTTGCATCTTGTGCAACGCAGACTTTGACAGGTCAGCTTCCTTGGCCGCGTGCAATCACTGGATACCAGGATGGATACAGGCGGAAATTGAGGATGCAGAGGGAGGGTCGCTTTCCGACAAGTGGGCGACAGAATTTGAGGACCTGGAAACGGCAAAACAAGTGGCTCTGAGTGATCAGTTGGATTTTTGCACGGATGCAGCCATTGCAGAATCACTGGAATTTGAGATAGATCGCTGTCAGCGGCGCATAGCCAACTTCCAAGAGATGCAGCAAGACCTTGCCACGCACGGACTTGTTTGTCGCAATGTGGTGTCCGATGGCAACTGCGGGATTGACATGCTTTTGCGTTTCCAGTCTTCCCCTTCATGTTCTGATGATCTCAGGTCGTCTTTTGCCTCTCTCCGAGAGAGATTGAAGTCCGCTTGGGTGAAATCGACACAATCAGTTAGATGGAGGATATTGTGGCATCAACTTTGCATGGGCAGAAATGGTGATGAACCTCCTGCAGATGAAGGCAGTGCAGCCAACGAGATTGAGCAAGCCAGTGGCCAACCTGCACCTGAGCAACCGCAGAACGCTGAAGGTGAGTTGCCCAGCACCCCACCGAAGAAGCCTCCAAAAGATGAGTGTCCATTCACTCCTGACCCAGTGGACAAGAAGAACCAGCTGGTGCCATCTGAACCATCTGACCCAGCTGCCAATGGAGTGCTTGTCATTCCTGGCGAAGGCCCACCGAAGAAGCGACGCACAGGCAAAATAGACATCAAGAACAAGATCAACTTTGAGCAGTACTTTGAGCACTTTCTGGCCGACAGAGGCATCACATACAAACAATGGTTGTCTTTGCATGCCGAGAGCATCATCGTTGTGCAGCTGGGCTGAATTTGATTTTCATTCTGAACGTTCTTGGACGGGTGGTCGGATTTGGAATTTTGATGAATGTTATTGAATTTCGATACACCTCCGTGAATCTCCATGAATCATCATGAATCTCAACTATCCTTGGTGCAATTGGATGCAATTGGGTGTGGCACAGCTATCAACATCTAACGACAGTATGTAGATGTATTTAGATGCTGATAGATGATGATAGATCATGATAGATCTGGGTTGCATATAGATGCTTTGCTACGGAATCTCAGGTAGTTGTGACAAGACAGTCCTTTTGTATCCTTTTGTGCCCAGGAGAGGCAGAGACTTTTGCCACAATTCTCCATGGAGCAATTTCTTCAGCAAACTTGTGCCTTGTCATCAACTGGTACCGGGGGAAATGGTAGCATTGGGCTGGTGGGTCTGATATGTTTTTCCATGTTTTTTCCTATTTGAGCAAGGGCGGAAAACCCAGATCTTCAAAGGATAAGGTCTGAGACCCCTGTTTGCCCCTTGGGCAACCTAGCTTGAGAGATCAACGCAGAAGATATTGTGCCTAGAAAAAAAATAAAAACGTACGAAAATGAAAAACATACGTCCTTGCTTTTTTGGTTCATTCTTCCGGCAGCCTACAAGCGCAATCACAAACCAAGTCAAAAGTGCAGTTGCATACGCACAGCAAATTCCTACCAAGTTGTTTCTGACTCCAAGGCAAAGGGCATGTGGCCTGTCAACTGTGCAATGTGCGCCAAGATCTTGCACGATGGTGGTTTCGATCAAGCACGCCTCGTTGCTGCAGTGAGTGAGATGCGTCAACAGGTGGTGACAGACCTTGCAAAGTATTCCGAGATGCTGCTCAAGCCCTTGAAGCTTCCTAAGACCGTCGGGCCCAAGCGAGAACCAGATGAAGCCGATGGTCGTGACCCCAAGCGTGTCAAGGTGGAGAAAGATGAGGATGGTGAGAAGCCTGATGTCGATGCTGCTGCGAGCACAGCTACCATTGGGGCTGAGAGCCTGATGGACAAGAACGCTTTGTTGGATTTCCATGGGATGAAAAAGCTTCCCTCAGGGGACGCAAAGAAGACTCATCCTGTTTTCTGCCCGCACTGCAACGTGACCTTGAACTGTAGAGGACTTGCCAAAGTCTGGCAGCATGTACGAGGCCAAGATCACAGAGCCAAGAAAGCAAAAAATGACGGTTGCTCAAAGAAAGGCATCAAGGTAGAGCCTGCAGATGTAGCAACGAAAGTCATTGACGTTGGGTTGTGCAAGGGCCTGCGGTTGAATGGCTCCATAGGTAGGCAGACAAGATTGGGTTCAGATCTTCGATCAATGTGGGATGAATATGCAAAATATGCTGATCTTACAGACGCCAACGCGCCGAAAGGTGTGCAAGTCCACCAGATCACCCGGATTTTCAGTCAGAATGACTGGAACATCTGTCACTGGCAATGTGCGAGTAGCTCGGACGAAACGAAGCAGGTCCGAAGGAATGGTGAAGGTGATGCAACTTGCTCCCAATGCTTTTCGCTGGCAAGCGATCAGAAATTTTTATCTCGTGTCTCAGGCTTCGTGGTTGACCTTGATTCTGCAAGATATCTATGGCATCGGCTCTTCGCAAATGAAGAGGCTGAAGAGTTGGAACAGTCCCTTCGCGCAAAGGAGATCTACCAGAGACGCTGCCAGAGTACCTATGATCACCTCTTTTCACTGGACACTGAAGCCTTGTACAACAAGGTTCGGGCGCAATGGCACGGGCGGTCAGGCCGGGCGTTTTAAAACCCAATTGACAATGTCACATAAACATCCATAAGCTACCCGGATCGATTTGTTGATGTCCCGGCTAATCGAATCTAATCGAGAAGAATGCACAGGATGTATCAGGATGTTCAATCCAGGTATGTTTTTGTATCAGCGCAATTCAGTGCAGGAACCCGGATGACCGAAGCCCTCCAGCAGTTCTTTTCTACGGTCGTCAAACCTTGCTTGCAAGTAGAACCAGGGGCCAGCATGCGCGACGAACAGGTGCAGAAGCTTCTCGACTTCTTGCGGGCAGATCCCCAGACCTCTAGCCGGGACTTGCGCATTGTCAAGGCTGTCATCAGTGGCGATCTGTCGCGCCATCCGGCAATTCAGGGTGTAATGTGCGCTTGCCTCAACCGTGTGCACATGCTTGAAAGTGGAAATGGCACCTTTCGATCAAAGCACCGTGCCTGGGTTGATCATTAGGAAGTTGTTGGTAACAAAAGGTTCTGAAGATTTCTGAAGTCATATCACCCATCCCTCTCTGCTGAACAGATGTCAAACAACATATTTGGATATATTTGGTTGATCATTAGGAAGTTGTTGGTAACAAAAGGTTCTGAAATCATATCCCCCATCCCTCTCTGCATTTATTTCTTCCACAGCTTTCAGGACATGAACTTAGAACCCCCTTTGCTGCACAATCAAGTGAACAGATGTCAAACAAAATATTTGGATATATTTGGTTGATCATTAGGAAGTTGTTGGTAACAAAAGGTTCTGAAATCATATCACCCATCCCTCTCTGCTGAACAGATGTCAAACAACATATTTGGATATATTTGGTTGATCATTAGGAAGTTGTTGGTAACAAAAGGTTCTGAAATCATATCCCCCATCCCTCTCTGCATTTATTTCTTCCACAGCTTTCAGGACATGAACTTAGAACCCCCTTTGCTGCACAATCAAGTGAACAGATGTCAAACAAAATATTTGGATATATTTGGTTGATCATTAGGAAGTTGTTGGTAACAAAAGGTTCTGAAATCATATCACCCATCCCTCTCTGCTGAACAGATGTCAAACAAAATATTTGGATATATTTGGTTGATCATTAGGAAGTTGTTGGTAACAAAAGGTTCTGAAATCATATCCCCCATCCCTCTCTGCATTTATTTCTTCCACAGCTTTCAGGACATGAACCTAGAACCCCCTTTGCTGCACAATCAAGTGAACAGATGTCAAACAAAATATTTGGTTGATCATTAGGAAGTTGTTGATAACAAAAGGTTCTGAAATCATATCACCCATCCCTCTCTGCTGAACAGATGTCAAACAACATATTTGGATATATTTGGTTGATCATTAGGAAGTTGTTGGTAACAAAAGGTTCTGAAATCATATCCCCCATCCCTCTCTGCATTTATTTCTTCCACAGCTTTCAGGACATGAACTTAGAACCCCCTTTGCTGCACAATCAAGTGAACAGATGTCAAACAAAATATTTGGATATATTTGGTTGATCATTAGGAAGTTGTTGGTAACAAAAGGTTCTGAAATCATATCACCCATCCCTCTCTGCTGAACAGATGTCAAACAACATATTTGGATATATTTGGTTGATCATTAGGAAGTTGTTGGTAACAAAAGGTTCTGAAATCATATCCCCCATCCCTCTCTGCATTTATTTCTTCCACAGCTTTCAGGACATGAACTTAGAACCCCCTTTGCTGCACAATCAAGTGAACAGATGTCAAACAAAATATTTGGTTGATCAATAGGAAGTTGTTGATAACAAAAGGTTCTGAAATCATATCACCCATCCCTCTCTGCATTTATTTCTTCCACAGCTTTCAGGACATGAACTTAGAGCCCCCTTTGCTTCCCCAGGTGCAGAAGATGAGAAGCAACTTCTCTTGGAAGCTGGGGCCGAGCTGTCTGCCATGGGGGCTAACCATCAATGCCTGGCTTTTTTCGGTCTGAGGTGGAGCCAGCAAGAGAATTACCTGGGTACGCTGGAGAAGCTGCCACAATGGGGTTTGCCTATCTTCACTGCTCCTGGCATGGACCTTCTGGCCCAGAACAACCATGATGTGAGCACGATTTATCCTCGCAACAGCAATGTGCCGTTCAGGAGGCTCATCATGGCAATCGATCGCACCTATTTAGTTTCGACACGCCAACTGTGCCGAACCTATCGTGGATCAATTTTGGCAGGGGCACCGCACAGACCAAAGGATTTTGTGGAGACGGACGAGTCTCACTGGGTGATCAATCGTGATGGTGGGGAGCAGCAGTTCGACTTGAAGGGCTCCCAGAAAGCCAACGAGATGGAATCTTTCCTATGCTGGGATGCAACCAGAGAGCATTCCCCGAAGGTTGAGGTGGCCGCATTTCCAGTACTCTCAGCAGCGTCCAAGCATGCTCGCTTTGAGGAGATAATGCCTTCCCCCGCACATCAGCGTGGCAAGTGGGAGACGCTCTGTCGATTTGGACCTGTGCTGGAGGCCACAACCTCGGTTCGGTTCATCATGATGGATGGCCATGGCTCTCATGACTGGTGCCATCGCCTTTTGCTTGGTCAGGTTGTCCCGATCCCTGCAGAGCTTTTGGAGACCGTACCATTTTTCTCCGCTCTGCGTTACCATGACCTTCCTGGCTCCAAGGAGTATCCGCTGGGATACCGTGTGTGTTTGGTGGGCAGCGATGCGATCAGCTATCTGCCTGGCATAGCTCACATCGCGAAGAATGTTTGTGAGCAGATGCGAAGCAGCCTCAGAACGATCAGGTTTGGCAGGTTGAGTGTAGACATGTCGTCCGCACTGCAGCTTGGCTTGTGGCCGGCGGCCTTTACCGGCAGCGACGGGATGTCGGACCACCAGGCCGCACTATGGTTTCTCGGCTAAAAAGTTGGAGAGGATGGGAGGGTCGGCGTGGTTATAGCCCCATTTATGGAATGTATAATCCCACTTAAATACTCATAACATCTTGTAACCAGTTACATCTTAATAAATTGATATATTTTTTTTCATAAATTGGTTGATCATTAGGAAGTTGTTGGTAACAAAAGGTTCTGAAATCATATCCCCCATCCCTCTCTGCATTTATTTCTTCCACAGCTTTCAGGACATGAACTTAGAACCCCCTTTGCTGCACAATCAAGTGAACAGATGTCAAACAAAATATTTGGATATATTTGGTTGATCATTAGGAAGTTGTTGATAACAAAAGGTTCTGAAATCATATCACCCATCCCTCTCTGCTGAACAGATGTCAAACAACATATTTGGATATATTTGGTTGATCATTAGGAAGTTATTGGAAACAAAAGGTTCTGAAATCATATCCCCCATCCCTCTCTGCTTTTATTTCTTCCACAGCTTTCAGGACATGAACCTAGAACCCCCTTTGCTGCACAATCAAGTGAACAGATGTCAAACAAAATATTTGGTTGATCATTAGGAAGTTGTTGATAACAAAAGGTTCTGAAATCATATCACCCATCCCTCTCTGCTGAACAGATGTCAAACAACATATTTGGTTGATCATTAGGAAGTTGTTGGTAACAAAAGGTTCTGAAATCATATCCCCCATCCCTCTCTGCATTTATTTCTTCCACAGCTTTCAGGACATGAACTTAGAACCCCCTTTGCTGCACAATCAAGTGAACAGATGTCAAACAAAATATTTGGATATATTTGGTTGATCATTAGGAAGTTGTTGATAACAAAAGGTTCTGAAATCATATCACCCATCCCTCTCTGCTGAACAGATGTCAAACAACATATTTGGTTGATCATTAGGAAGTTGTTGGTAACAAAAGGTTCTGAAATCATATCCCCCATCCCTCTCTGCATTTATTTCTTCCACAGCTTTCAGGACATGAACTTAGAACCCCCTTTGCTGCACAATCAAGTGAACAGATGTCAAACAAAATATTTGGATATATTTGGTTGATCATTAGGAAGTTGTTGATAACAAAAGGTTCTGAAATCATATCACCCATCCCTCTCTGCTGAACAGATGTCAAACAACATATTTGGATATATTTGGTTGATCATTAGGAAGTTATTGGAAACAAAAGGTTCTGAAATCATATCCCCCATCCCTCTCTGCTTTTATTTCTTCCACAGCTTTCAGGACATGAACCTAGAACCCCCTTTGCTGCACAATCAAGTGAACAGATGTCAAACAAAATATTTGGTTGATCATTAGGAAGTTGTTGATAACAAAAGGTTCTGAAATCATATCACCCATCCCTCTCTGCTGAACAGATGTCAAACAACATATTTGGTTGATCATTAGGAAGTTGTTGGTAACAAAAGGTTCTGAAATCATATCCCCCATCCCTCTCTGCATTTATTTCTTCCACAGCTTTCAGGACATGAACTTAGAACCCCCTTTGCTGCACAATCAAGTGAACAGATGTCAAACAAAATATTTGGATATATTTGGTTGATCATTAGGAAGTTGTTGATAACAAAAGGTTCTGAAATCATATCACCCATCCCTCTCTGCTGAACAGATGTCAAACAACATATTTGGTTGATCATTAGGAAGTTGTTGGTAACAAAAGGTTCTGAAATCATATCCCCCATCCCTCTCTGCATTTATTTCTTCCACAGCTTTCAGGACATGAACTTAGAACCCCCTTTGCTGCACAATCAAGTGAACAGATGTCAAACAAAATATTTGGATATATTTGGTTGATCATTAGGAAGTTGTTGATAACAAAAGGTTCTGAAATCATATCACCCATCCCTCTCTGCTGAACAGGTGTCAAACAAAATATTTGGTTGATCATTAGGAAGTTGTTGGTAACAAAAGGTTCTGAAATCATATCCCCCATCCCTCTCTGCTTTTATTTCTTCCACAGCTTTCAGGACATGAACTTAGAACCCCCTTTGCTGCACAATCATGTATTCTATTTATTTCTCCCATAGCCTTCAGGATATGAATTTAGACTAATTTAGACACATCTCTGACTGAGCACTGGTGTGCTGCTTTGCCAGGCTAAGCCCCATGAACTTCGTGGTGGATCCCTTTGCATCAAAAATTCAGATCCCATGGATGCTCGAGGGCGCTTTTGTGGTTTCCCTGGTTTTGGCACATGTTCAAGCCGCCTACCTTCACCACTGCACCTGCAGAAAGTGGCGATTGCTGACAGCTTTGACAGGAGAGGGTATAGGTTCATTATTTTTTGATATTTTTTTGCACGTTCCTGATTTTTCGAGCTGTTTTTGTGGATCTTGTTTGGGGCACGTGGCTTATACATATATATATATACTTATATAATATATTAGAATATTGTATAAAATAATTTATTCATGTCCGAAGTGTCCACTCTAGGACTATTTCTCCTGGATCTGGGGTCTCTGGTGGCCACATTGGAAGCCACAAACCTCAACCTCAAAAAAAGGCAGGTCTGGCTCGACAAGAAGACTCACAGAAATCTGCGTGATGCTGCAGGTGGCATTGTCTTGGCAGCCTGGTCTGCAGACGGGCCAGTGTCTTGGCCGAACTTGACGGAGAGACATTTGGAAAAAAGATTTGGTCGGGTCAGATCTATGTTCAGCAATTCACGAATGTCATGCGGAGACTACTGGAGGAGTTCAGCCATCAACATGCACAAGGAAGTCACAAAGTGGCGGAAGAATGATGACAAACCAAAGCATTGCTTTGACAAAGGCAGAGTGTCGCCGGAGACATTTGTTGACTTGGTCGAGCAATCTTTCTGTGCTGCTTTGAAGTTCACTTCGATGTGTTCATCCAGAACAGAAGAAGATCTGCGGTCCTTGTTCGGCATGTCCAAGAGCGATCCCAACCTCAAAGCTAGTGCTTTGAACGATGACTGCGAGGATGATGAGGATGATGATGATGCCGGAGATGTTCATCAGGCTTCTCCGGCAGACATGCTCGAGCACATCAAGGAGAGCCAGAAATTGTCCAGCCCCAAGGTGGAAGAACAAGAAGTGCCTGAGTGCGATGATGACCGTGCCACTGTGATCCACGAAAAGTCCCGAGGCAACCGAGCAGACAGCAAAATTTCTGCAGCAACATCAGAAGTTTGCGGTGAGCTACCTGTGCCTGAAGGATCTCAACATGCACAGGAAGCGTTTCAGCAGAGGCTCAAGAACTTGACCAAGACGACTTTGAGTGCAGCTGTGGCAAAGCACGAGAACTTGGAAGCAGCCAAGACTGATTTGTGGCTGCTTCTTTGCCACCTGCGGTTGTCGCCGGGCGGCTGTGACAGTGACATCATCCGAAACCACTGTACTACCCGAGGCTCCCTCGAGGTGAAGATACCAAAGTGGCAAAACCTGGTGTGCCACCAGCTGGCCGTCATCGAGTCGCAGGAAAGGATGCCACAGTCCCGAACCAGCCGAACTCAAGGCTGGGTCCAAAGCACTGAAGAGCTGCGAAAGACAAAGATGCCCAGCCTTCCATCGACCCTGGCAATGGCGGCAGGCCAAGTTGTGGCCATCTCAGCGCAATCTACGTGGAAAGTTGGCATGGTGCTCAGCGTTTGGAGAGTGTACAAGAAGGGCGTGGGTTCACAACTCACATGCAGAGAAATCTCAAGAGGATCCATGCACAGTGTGCGATGTGTCCTGATGCGGTCTCCTTTTGATGATAGCCCAGCCACGTTCATGTGCGACTCTTCGTCCGTCATGGTTGTCCTCCCCCTTGAGAACATTGGTGTGCGACTGGACACGGAGGAGATGAAAGTGAAGCGTGGGATCGATGGCATAAAGATCCATCTCTGCAAGGCAACTCGCTGGGAGTTTGTTAAAGTTCATTGGGACGAGTAGTTCATTGGGAAAAGCTCAGATTTCATCAATTTTCATCAATTTTCATACACTAAGATTCTGGGGCCAATCATCTGTTTTGTTTTACCAACACCAAAGTTTGATAAAGTTTGTTGATTTTGGTTGATTGGGGCCACAGACTGATGTTATACAAGGTTCTGAAATCATATCCTCCCAAGTCAGTCAGCAGTTTAAGCTTGAAAGGGGCATGGGATATGATCTTAGAACCCCAATGTTTCCCAATCTCTTGAACAACTATGAAGCCAACAAAAATGTTTTTGTTTTATCAACACCAAAGTTTGATAAAGTTTGTTGATATTTGTTGCCTGGGGCCATAGACTGATGTTACACAAGGTTCTGAAATCATATCCTCCCAAGTCAGTCAGCAGTTTAAGCTTGAAAGGGGCATGGGATATGATCTTAGAACCCCCAATGTTTCCCAATCTCTTGAACAACTATGAAGCCAACAAAAATGTTTTTGTTTTATCAACAACAAAGTTTGATAAAGTTTGTCGATCTTTGTTGCCTGGGGCCATAGATTGATGTTATACAAGGTTCTGAAATCATATCCTCCCAAGTCAGTCAGCAGTTTAAGCTTGAAAGGGGCATGGGATATGATCTTAGAACCCCCAATGTTTCCCAATCTCTTGAACAACTATGAAGCCAACAAAAATGTTTTTGTTTTATCAACACCAAAATTTGATAAAGTTTGTTGATTTTGGTTGATTGGGGCCATAGACTGATGTTATACAAGGTTCTGAAATCATATCCTCCCAAGTCAGTCAGCAGTTTAAGCTTGAAAGGGGCATGGGATATGATCTTAGAACCACCAATGTTTCCCAATCTCTTGAACAACTATGAAGCCAACAAAAATGTTTTTGTTTTGTCAACACCAAAGTTTGATAAAGTTTGTCGATATTTGTTGCCTGGGGCCATAGACTGATGTTACACAAGGTTCTGAAATCATATCCTCCCAAGTCAGTCAGCAGTTTAAGCTTGAAAGGGGCATGGGATATGATCTTAGAACCCCCAATGTTTCCCTCTCTTGAACAACTATGAAGCCAACAAAAATGTTTTTGTTTTGTCAACACCAAAGTTTCCAGTTGTGACCCACAAATATCCTTCCAGCTCTGGCCGCTGAGTGCTTGAGGAGTCCATGCAAGCTTTGGATTTTCTCATCGAAGAGAAAAAGAAAGAAGCCAAAGCTGCACCAAAGAAGAAGGCTCACGTCCCGAAGAAATACATCGAGCCTTTGATGGAAAATTTCAGACGGACTAAAAAGGGGGACCGTCTGGTGCAGCAAGAAGTTCGGCTCCTGCTGGAATTGCAGAATAAGCACTTCCCTGCCAAGCCAATGTTGTCCCCAGATGGTGGCACCGTGCGTTATACAGTGGAGAAGGTGGCTCATTCTGTGCCCATGCAGGACCTTAGCGCAAAGATCGGCAGCTTCTTTTCCAGCTTTTTCCAGGAGATACGAAACAAACAGTCGTACGGTGTGAAGGTGCAAAGTTGGTTGCAAGAAGTGCTTGGGACTTAACAGTCATGGCGTATATTGTGATCTTTTTGGAATTTTTGGTTTTATTTTTAAATAAATGTTTTCATGTTGAAAAAAGGCACAACTAGATGTGCACTGTTGAGGCACGGCGTGGCATGCTGGACGACGCTAGCTGCAGTGCCTTGAATTCTTTAATTGCGCAGGTGGCGCAGTTCATCAGTGTCAGTGGACAGGTCTGTCATGAAGATGATAGCAATGGGGAAGCTGCTGATTCTGACTGAGCGCCTTTCGCGCGTTTATCGCCAATCTGTCCAAGATGGATAGAGCAACGGCTGGATGGAGCATCGAACCGAAGGATGAAGAGGGAAAAAAAATTGAGCCTGTGAGTTGCGGGTTGTATCTGGGTGCACTTTTTGTTTTTTTTGGATAACAGAAAGGCTCCAAAATGAAGGGGTTCTAGGATCATATTATTGATACCCCATGATATGATTCCAGAACCCCCTCAACACAAACTTCCAAAGTTCTGACATCATCAAGTTGATCCCCAGGGCCCCCCCCCTGGGAATTTGATTGTAGACCCCCTGGGGGGGTTCTAGAGTCCCAGACAAGGGTCCCTGCTCGTAGTTGAGAGTATTAAATTAATAGGTTAATCATGCTTAGTCATGGTCAATCATGGTTAATCATAAAGCATCCAGGCCATGGGCCATGGCTGGAATTTTATGCAAAGTGTTGAAATAATCGGAGAGTTTTCCTGGAAAACATGATGATTTTCTCCGGGATTCACCTGGATTTGCCACTGGGGAATCAATGAATCTATGGGGAAGTCTCCACAGTTTTTTTTGGTGTTTAAGCAAAATCAAGTTCACCAACCATAATGAGGGTCTCAGTGGATATATATATATATATATGTATGGGATTTGTCACCAACGTATAATACCCGGGTGTGTCTGATTTTTTAGGATACCCCAAAATGGCCATGGATGAGGATGAAGCTCCACATTTTTAGGGGCCATGTGTTCATGCCAAGAAAGTATTTGTGATAGTCAGTAAAGGAAACCAGCCCAAAACCTTGTGATGTTTTTCCTCAGAATTCAGAATTATAGAAATTCTAATTTGCCCAGGATCACCCACCTTAGCAAACTTGCATCTCATTTGGTCGGTGTCGGGGTTACAAAAACCCTAGCCATGTGCCCGGCAGAAGTTGGTTAGATACCCATGTTGCGGGATGGTCATCCCCCCTCAAGAGGGTTGATCATGGTAATTTATGGTATATTAGTGTTTTGTTTTGCATAAATACCCACTATAAAAACACATTAAAACACAAAATGTAAAACCCTCCTATCTATCTACCTGGTGGATTTTGGCTGATGCCCAGCTTTTGTGTAGCCATGGGATCTGTCCCTTTCCCGTGGCATTGCATCGGTTGCCCCCAGGAACTATTGGGGTCAGCGCTCGTGCCTTGATGGTGAATTCCGTGGATATCCGTGGATCGTTTTTATTTGTTGTTCAAAATCTGCCCTGTTCTAGATACCCTCTGGTAAATACAAAAAGCTATTGAAAATGGCCATTCTAAATACCCTCTGGTTATGACTAACATAGCTATTGAAAATGGTCATAGAAATAGTGGATTTACCCATTAAAAATGGTGATTTTCCATAGCTATGTTAAATTATCAGAGGGTAGGTGGAATGGATACATGGATAGTGGTAGATGGGTGGATAGGTTCAAGGAATCACCCTTTTCCTCACCCGTTAAAAACTACGGTTGGTGAGATGTGTTTGGCGTTTTCGGTTAAATTCTATCACGGCCACTGGCATCTTGGGCGGGAGGCAACCGAATGACTGCGTGCACATTTGCGTTGCTTGAGAATAATGAACTTACATGCTCACAATGATACGACATCCACACGGTGGTTGCTGTAACAGCATTTTTAGTGGCTAAATGCTTACATGGTTTCTAACATAGTTCACTGTTTGCCGGTAAAACCCTATTTGGTGTTTGTCAAAACAAAATGCTGCTTCAAACGCTGAATTGCGCTGGGGAAATAGTTGAATTTCTCGATTAACTCGTCTCAATGTCATCAACCCTAATTAAGTATCTTAACTTGCTTTAAAAAGGTAGTTCAACTTTTGGACATATATCTATGGAATTCTATGGGTCATTGGTATGTTCATGTATTTTCTATAAACAACTTGCCACTGGGCACCACGATGTGACACCTTCTAGGAACACCGGGGTGGTGTGGCACAGTTTCCGCACGTGGATCACCTTCGCACACGAGGTAGGCCACAACTTCGGAGGCGTCCTGGGTGAGGAACAGAAAAGTTGTGGTTTTAGGATGCGATCATGGAATGAACCATTACTATTTGTGTAGGAATGAACCATCAAAAGCATCCAATTTCTAAGCATGATCAATCTTGGAAGCTTCCGACAAATCGGGTAACCCTCTGGAAATCAAGCCTGTGGCACAAGAAAGTATGTCGAACATGGACATGGACGTCATCGAACTCAAGGCTAGATCTGAAAGTGGAGCAAGAGCCGGCCAACCCCCACAGAGCCCCATTGGCTGATAGATATTCAGGGTACTGACTGGGACATAGTGGGCCGGAGTGAACATGTAGAAACTTGTGAAACGATGTGAAACTGTGCCCGGGGTTTTATGCAGAAACGGGTGAAACTATGTTGAACTAAGTTGGCTTGGATTTTTTCGACCAACTGCCGTTCAGGTCAACCAAACAACGGAACGGATATCGGATGGCCTTGGGGGTCTGATCATGTTTTGTTTTACCCGGGCATGCTATCATTGTAGGAAAAGGATCCGATTTTGTTTTAAAAAAATATTTGTTTTATAATTATACCGTATAATACCGGTAACAATCCAAAAATATATGTTTTTTCGAAAATGATTTTTAGTGGGAGTTCAAAAAAGCCGATTGGTGAACCGATCCACTGTTTTTTTCCGGGTTTTTACATCACCCGATGGATTTTGATGCCAATTTCTTCGCAGGCGAGCACTCCTTCGAGTTGGGAAAGGGGAGGACTGGGGGTATCATGGACTATGGCGACGGTACCCTGTCCCTTCGCCTCGAGACGTTTCGCGAGACGTGGGAATCCGATGGCCCGACATCTCAGGTGCAGCAGTGTGGAGATAAAATCAGGTCAACATACGATGCATGTACAAGTACTATTTAATTGCATATATACACATTATATATATTGCACACGCACACACACACATATATATATATATATGTGACTAATAACTTAACTTAGATTATATAATATTATATATTCCCCATTTATACACGCACATATATATATATATGTGTGTGTTCAACTGTGTATGTGTTCAAGTGTGTATGTATGTATATGTGTGTAATGTAATGTAATGCAATGCTAACATATGTAAACTAACGTAGCATAAAGTAATGTAAAGTAAAGTGCGGTAACGCCATGTAATGTAGTGTATGCATGCATATGCACACAGCTTCTAAAGAATATGTGTGTGACATCCTTGCATCAGCACTCCCAGTGGCACCCAGGAACGGTGCCTTCCAGTTCAACAGCCATTTCCGTAAGTTTCAGATGTGCCACACCATGAACCAGGTGCTGCAACCGGTAGGGATGAGGTTCCCGAATACCATCGTTGAATCTGGTTGGTGGTTTGGAATATGAATTTTATTTTTCCATATTCAGTTGGGAAGAATCATCATCCCAACTGACGAACTCATATTTTTAGAGGGGTACTCCAACCAGTAATGGTTTGATAAAAAGAAGACTCCAACTAGGGTATCCTATGGGTATGTTCCTTGCCACTTAGCTGGAGTTGAATAAGATGACCCAGTTCAACTCACTAGGGCCCTGCTAGGGCAGGGCCTGTGTTATTGTGGGTAAGTGGATGGAAACCATGGCAGTCATCAATCCCGAGTGGTTGAGGAGACCATCATAACAGCCGAGCATGAGGGATTTGATGATTTGATCGGAGATGTTGTGCTCAAAAATTGGTTTATCACCATCATTCTTTTGACATCTTCAGGTAGACCCATACAGGCATAGGTCAAAACCTCGCAACAAGTCATTAAACAACTATAGGAACATCATGGAACATCTAAATCCTTCTGAAATCGTTGGATATCGCTTTTCTACATGGTATTTGTTTGGGATTTTTGGTGGTCGCTGAGTCGCTGGTTAAATATTTCCCCCATGGCTCAGGCGTTGAAACGGTGCCGCTCTGCCATTTGGCTCCACGACGGCGAGTGTGGCAATGGCGTTTTGACCGACGCGGAGGACGGCAGAAACTGCGGTGCCGCCCATGGCTCAATGTGCCCATGGCCCATGGCTGGTAGCGTAGAAGCGGCTTAAAAGGAATGGGTTTATTGCATGATCCCAGAATGGCAACTTCGAACATGATGGAAAATGATGGGGAAGATGAATCAACAACTTATTTGCAAAACGTATTGTCATAGCCATTTTTGGTTGAGAGATGTATGATAATTCATTTTTCTTCCATACAATTTATATGAACATCAAAGATGAGAATGGCTCTTCACTCACATCTTTAGCACAAATAGGGTTTTAATATGAACGTGTTTAATCACTGTTCAATGGGACTATGAATGTACTTAAGTGCTTAACAAAATAGACATCGTATCCAGGCTTCACCTGGCTTGGAGAGTTGACAGCGTTGACCAGAATATCGACTGCAGGAGTGTGAATGCAAGAATGGGAGCAACTTGGCGATTTCGGTGGGAAGTGGAGAGTGCATGGTGAGGACCTGTGGCCTTTGTCGCAGTGAACGGTGGGCATGTTCCTAGTGGTTTCTGGTGTTTTCGAACGTTGGTTGCCCCTATGCCAAGGTGTTGGTGATTTATATTCGAGTGGTTGCTTATATCTTGATATCTCTATGTCTGCAGTCTTGGATGCGATGTTCAAGAAAGTGGCAAATACGGTTGTTGTTATGTAGTATTCACACCCAGGCAGTGATGCAAGTTCAGAAAGACTCGTGTTGTTGACATCCTGCTGTTGACACGTGTTGAATCTGCTGAGGCTGCACGTTATTTGTATATATACACTATCTATTTGTGAAGATAGAAGTATCTATCTATAATACTATACATCTACCTGTTTGCCTATCTATCTATCTATCTAACTATCTATCTATCTATTTATCCTCCTATCTACCTATCTATCTATCTATCTATCTATCCATCTATCTATCTATCTACATTTGTCTATCTATCTCTCTATCTCTCTATATTTCTATCTATCTATCTATCTATTTATTTGTCTATCTATCTATTTGTCTGTTTGTATGATTGTTGGTTTGTCTATCTTACTTTTATATAAATGTATATTTGTGTGTATCTCTATTTGTCTCTGTCTCTGCCTCTGCCCCTGTCTATCTCTCTCTCTCTCTATCCATCTATCTACCTACCTATCTATCTATATTTATGTTTGTCTTCGTTTCTTTCTCTCATATCTACCGTATCTACCTTAACTACCTTATCTATCTGACCTATATATATATACAGGGTTGTTTCTATCGTATCCATATGCATCTATTTTATCTATCTTATCTATCTTATGTTTCTCGTTCTATCTGAACTATCCTATATGTATTATGTAGTTTATCTATCGTATTGTCATTATCGATCTTCTCTATCCCATCTAACTTACATTTCTTTCTTGTTTCTCTCTTATCTATATTATCTATCTTATATGTCTTATTTTATCTTATCGATCTTGTCTATCTCTTATACCTCTCTCTCTATATCTATCTATTTGTTTCTCTCTCTCTCTCTCTATCTAGTTCTCTCTCTCTCTCTATCTATCTACCTACCTATCTACCTACCTATCTACCTACCTATCTACCTATCTACCTATCTACCTATCTACCTATCTACCTACCTATCTACCTATCTACCTATCTACCTATCTACCTATCTACCTATCTACCTATCTACCTATCTACCTAATCTACCTACTCTATCTATCCTACCTCTACCTCTACCTACTATCTACCTATCTACCTATCTCTACCTATCTCTACCTATCTACCTATCTACCTATCTACCTATCTACCTATCTACCTATCTACCTATCTACCTATCTACCTATCTACCTATCTACCTATCTACCTATCTATCTAATCTAATCTAATCCAATCTATTCTAAATCCAATCTAAATCTAAATCTAAATCTAAATCTAAATCTAATCTAATCTAATCTAATCTAATCTAATCTAATCTAATCTATCTATCTGAGTTCTATCTACCTTACGTGACTTATCTCTCTTATCTGTCCTTTGTTCTCTTATCTATCGTATATATTTTATCCATCAATCTTATCGTATCTATTTCATCGATCTTTCTGTCTGTTCTATTTGTTTTATGTTGTCTATCTTGTCTGTCTCTCTCTCTCTCTCTTGCCTATCTGTCTATTTGTCTATCTGTCTATCTATCTGTCTATCCTGTCTTTGTTGTCTCTGTTCTCTCTGTCTATCTGTCGTCCATTTGTCTATCTTTTCAACCTTGTTGTTGATTTCTGAGACTATGTCAGGCTGCTTAGGCCCGCGTCTTCACAAACGCAAGGGTTCATTCTCTGCTGACTTTATCATAAGCTTCCCGATTAAGATGGAAATTCGAGGATAACCCCCAGCTGCAGACAAGGTTTCCCTTTCTATGGTCCCAAATATGTGCATTCATCCTCTAAACCATGGCTTCTGGCAGGTGACTCTGGCTACTGGCGTAAAGAGATTCGTTATATGACCCCTGCCATCCGAAATTATTCCGATGTGGAGGTTACATCTAGGAATAATTTTCCAGAATAATTTCCTTGGGAGTAGTTTTCAGGCACTATGGCATTGCGGGCGCCCACGAGGAACACTAATTGAAATCCGCCACTCGCCCCACTCGCCCCACTCGCCCTACTTGCCCTGGGCTAGCAAATTAATTGAAATCCGCCACTCGCCCCACTCGCCCCACTTGCCTTGGTAGGAAAATTAATTGACTTTGGCCACTCGCCCCACTCGCCCTACTCGACCCCACTCGCCCTACTCGCCCCACTCGCCCTACTCGCCCGACTCGCCCCACTCGCCCGACTCGCCCCACTCCCCCCACTCGACGCACTTGCTGCGGAGGTAAGCAGAGCAAGTGCAAGCTGGGCAAGCGGGGCAAACGGGGCAAGCGGGGCAAGCGGGGCAAGCGGGGCAAGCGGGGCAAGCGGGGCAAGCGGGGCAAGTGGGGCAAGCGGGGCAAGCGTGGCAAGCGGGGCAAGGGGGCAAGCGGGGCACGCGATATACACTGACAGGCCCCATTTTGCGCAAATTGGAGCTCCCACCTGATAAACGATAATAGTCAAAATTACTTTCCTCGAGTGGCCCCGGTCAACTGGCATTCTAGTTGACATATATATACATATATATTATATATATATATTATATATATATATTGAGATTCTATCGGGCATTCTTTCTGGCATTCCATCTGCCATATATTTTGAGATTGTATCTGATTATTTTGATATTCTCTCTGGCATTCTATCTGATATTCTATCTGGCATTTTGTCTGAGATTTCATCTGACATACTGCCTGACATTCTACCTGGCATTTTTTATGGGAGTCTATGTGGCATACATTCTGACATCCTATCTGGCATTCTTGCGGGTCTGTGTTTCCAGATGCATGTTTCCCACTTGCAAACATTGGCTCTATCTGGTGGTGCCACTTGCCACTGTCAAGATTAGCGGCCCTTGGCTTACCTGTGCTCTCTGAGCCGGGCTGTCGATGGTATCTCGAGCATACAAAAGTACAATCACAAGGATGTATGTTATTTACCCGTACTTGGTTAGGCAGTGGGCCGTATGGAAATATAGAGATTTGGTACAGTGGTTCGAACCAAGCCAGTAAGTAGCGATGCAAAGTGTGCTGGTGTATATAATGTCTTGAGCTGTAAATTGCAGATTCTGTTTGTGATTGGGACATCTTGAAGTCAACAGCGAGATGTCAGGAACTAATCTCCAGGCGACAGGAATTCATCATTTGTACCGTTACCACGACTGCCCTATTTGGAGTCGTTTTTTTTTGCACTTTATCTTCACGCTCATGCCCGGGGCCGGGGTTGAATTTGGTGGAGTGATTGTGTCTTTGCGGGCAGGATCGGCATTGAGAGATAACGTGAACTTTAGAACCTTGATTTCGAATCTTGTTGCTTGTTTCAGATGTTTCCGAAAGATTTCGTCTTGAGTCATGTCAGCTTTAGACGCTGCGCACTTTTCGGCTCAAGAGAATCTCACAGAGACGGGTCAGTGAAATTGGCTCATTCCTGATAGCACGCATCCATCGCCGGACCAGCGCGCATCTTCATCAAGCTGTTGTGAAGTTGCCAACTTCTGGTAGTCGCCGGGCTACTGTGGAACTTTGCCAGCACTTGCTTCCACGGCCATGCATGGCTTGGGAATATACTTTTGATTAATGCTGGGGGCTTTAGCTGCTCCCCGATGATTTCAGATCAGCTGTCTCAAGGGCCAGGAAACGATTCAGCTTCGTTCGAAAAGCGCAGAAAAAGCCGGCTGGCTTGGTTGTGGTCTGTGTCATGCTGCATACTGCCATTACTTCAAAACCACTCACCTGATTTTCGTTTTTTTCCCAGTTTTCCAGGTTCGCAGACCGCGCTGCAGCTGTACTGCACCATGGTGTCCTTGTTTGCGTCAAACACCTTCTCATCTCATTTTGTTTTTCTCGATTTTCCTGGTTCGCAGTCCTTGCAGCAGCTGTGCTGCATCATGGTTTCCTTGTTTGCATCAAAGTTGCAGTGCCATGTTGAATGTGCCTATTTGCAACTGTCGCTCCCGTTGTGCTCAAGTTGATCGCCTGAGCTACTGTTGTCCACCTGTGCTCTCCGAGCCGGGAAATTGACTTAAACAAATACATTCGCTGCATTGGCCGCCATGGAAACGCAAGACATAACTGCGGTACTGCCCAGTAGGGAAACAGCAGACTGTCACGCTAGCAGTATCAGCCAAGGTTCAGGAACTCAAAGAGATTTTGCAGCGATGATATGATTCCTGGACGCGCGAGGTGCGGTGTTGCGGGTCGATGATATGATTCCTTCGGCTGCAAGCGCACACTGCGTTACATGTGTCGCGCGTTTCCCTTGTCTCGCTTCAACCTGGAAAGCCTTTGCTCTGTGGTGTCACAATGACCGTGTAGTGATGGGGACATCCTGCCTACGGCTCCGACAGCTCTGGTGTGTGTGCAAGCGCCTGCGCAAAGTGGTGCAGATCGTTGCCAGCGGCCGCGCTTTTGCCGCAGTGACATCATACGGATCTGTTGTTACCTGGGGCTTGCCGAAGATGGTTGCTGACAGGGCAATGGTACGGCAGCAGCTCTATGATGTGAGAAGCGTGACTGCAGCTGCCCAGGGCGCATTTGCCGCCCTTCGTCATGATGGGTCTGTCGTCACCTGGGGTCCAAGCCAAATTGAAGGGAGTGACGCAGATTCACAGCACGCATACTGCATTCGCTGCCATTGTGTTGGATGGGTCCGTGGTTGCTTGGGGAGACCCCTAGTAATGGAGGAGACAGCTCGATGGTCCAAGACCGACTTCAAGGCATTGTGAATGTTCAGGGCAACCCTTATGCATTTGCAGCTGTCACGGAGGAAGGGTCGCTTGTCACCTGGGGAAAGGCCACCTTGGGGGGCGATAGTTCTGTGATACGAGAAAGTCCGGCAAGTCACACCCTCTTTGAAAGGGTTCTTTGCCAATGCTGACGGATGTCAAGTTCATACATGGGTCTGTCAAAGCGTTTGCAGCAGTGCGCTACAATGGATCCATTGTTACATGGGGAGCGCAGGACGGAGGCGGGGACAGCTCCGCAGTGCAATCTGTGTTTGCCACTTTCTAGTTGCAGTGGCCATTAATGTTGCTACTGCAGCTGCGGCAAAATTAGACATCTTCACAAACTTGGACATATGGTATAGACAAACAGGCCTGCGGAACAGCCTGCTATGGTGTAAAAATTTGCGATGGGAAGCTGGGCGCAATGGTAATCTAGTGGTCGAAATAGTCGGGACATCCTCTCAATCCCTCAGATGCACTGTCCGCTGCAGCTGCCCTGCATGCTCAGAGAACTTCATGCTTTTTAACTACAGTGTGGTGTAGCATTTGCTTGTTTGCGCCTATCTTCATCCGTTGGGCTCAAATTTAGGCACCTGCGCCAGTATTGTCAACCTGTGCTCTCCGAGCCGGGCGATTGACGTAGACATCGTGACATTGAGCTGATATGTAGATGTACGTGTTCATGCTGTGAACAAGATCATCATTGTCATTTACAACCTTGTAGCTCTCCTTTGAAACCATGGCCGACGAAGCGCAAGCGACTCGGCGAGCCTTCACCATTCAGGGGCCGCAGGTTGCCTTAGCTATGCTGCGAGGTTCCAAACGCATAGAATCTCGGAAGAGGCGGATGGCAGCTGGCTGGTACTATTTTCACGTGGGCCGTTAGTCAATCAACAGCTTGCCCCCCGAATGTTCGGCCGCCTTGCGCCAGACATGGCCGGATGCGCCAGAGGAAGCTTCTTTGTCCAAAAGTTGCGTGGTTGGGATGGTGTGCCTAGGGAAGGTGATTCAAGCCAGCAAGGTTGAAAACCCATGGGTCTGTGCCTCCTTGCCGTTGGTCCCCGAGATTGTTGCCATAGAGTTCAGATCCCCAGTTCGATGGGAAAAGGGGAAGCAAGTTGTCTGGCATGTCAAAGAAGGAGAGATGCAAGGGAAGCTGAAGGAAGCAACCGCCTCTGGGATTCCTTGTGGCCAACTGCAGAAAATGAGGGACCCGCTGCCAAGCGCCAGAAGCTCACGCAGCCGCCTTGGAAAAGCAAGAAGCGGAAGCGCCGTTCTGACGCTGGGAACACCGGCAGTCCGGCTCAAGTTTCCTTCACAGCATCCAAGCGTCGCCGGCTGCTTCTTCGCAGCCCTTTGCAAAAGCCGAAGTTGGCAAAAGCATCAGCATCAGAAGCCTTGCAGGCCAGCACAAGCCCGCAGAGGGGACCTGACCGTTGCAGTCTTGCCCAACGGGTGGCAGCAGGAAGGACGTTGGAGCTGCTGACAACACTGATGGCAAAGTCACACAGTTGCAGCCCAGAGGAGGTCTCTTTGCTTTCCGGGACGATCAGCCAGTGTTCATTCTGAGTGTACGGACAAGCAGAAAAATTCCTTTGGCTGATGTGGTTCCATTGAAGCAGGCAACTTTTCAAGGACGAACCGTCCTCAAAGCCAAATACACAGAGACCCGCACATGCAGATGGAGTGAGCTCAAAGATGTCGGCTTACATTTCCAGATTGCCAACTGTGCGAATGATCGCCGTAGAGCGAGTGGCTTGGCCTCGATGATTTTTTGTAACATGTTGCCATCCTTTAAAGAGAGACCCGCAACAGATTGTTTTTATGTAGCTTTGCATGCCTAGGCTTGCCGTTCCAGAAGCAACCGGGGGAAACACAAGGAGATCAAGGCAGAGCTTTGCGCGAGAATGCAGCTTTGGCAGCTCGCTGGCAGGCTGGCAATGCAGAGCTAGGTTTGGCCACTTCATGCACAGTTGATCACTCGGTGCGATCCGTTGTGCCAGTGCGTTTGCGGGCGCACCTGGCCGAACGAGCTGCTTCAGGTATTACCCATCACGCGGCCCCACGCGCAGATGAGAGCCGTTCCTTTTGGATTCCGCGACTGAATTAGTTCTGTCTACCTGTGTTCTCGGAGCCGGGCAATGTCAGGACAGTATATCATTGAGTCATTGAATCTATTAATGCAACACAATCACACACAAGCAGCATCAGAGTCACCCTTTTAAAGCCTCTAGCCCTATGTTAATGGCAATGTATGCTTTGAATGCGCTGACACCTGGTTGCAGCTGGATGCTCTGGAATTTGACCCTCCAAGGCGGTCTGGAGATGGCAGCGGCCGGGCAGATGTGCAGCGGATTCGCTTGCTCTACAAACGTGATTTACACGGAGATGATGGGCTCGTTATAGTTTCCTGTGACGAGGAGGATGTCATCTCCCCGCAGCATGCTCCACCAAACGTATGTAGACGCTGGCGTTCAGGTGCATTAGAGCCCATTGCGGGTGTTGAAGTTGACCTTGCATTGCCGCGGGCGCTGGATGAGCAAAATGTTCGTCTCTTGCTTGTCTATACTGGCACCTGTACAGTCAAGTTGATCAAGAACGTCCGCCTGAAAATTTGCCGCCAGACATTCCGCTATGGGCTTGGGAGTTGTTTTCAAAACCAAGATTTCATTGGACTGAGGCTCGGGTTCAAGCGTTGCAAGAATCTTGTTTGCAGACGCTGCAGGCCGCAGACCGCAAATTATCCGTACCTGATTAGCGCCGCCCTGGCTTCGTCCACTGCGACCTGTGGGTCTCAATGGCACGGACGATATTGTGCTCTCAATCGCAAGAAACTTCCAGAAAGCAGTCCTTTTGTACACTAGGCCAAGCAGTTTTTGATCATGTCGCGAGGTTAAAAAAATTCGCTGCGCGCTACAGAAGTGTTGAAACTGAGAGATGTGGAGGGCATGTGAACATTTTCACATTGTTCCGGCTGTCCACGCAGCGCAGCATGCATGAGAGCCAGTTTGGTTGCATGGAGTCGATATCACGCTTGGGACTGCAAAGGCAAATCCGACAAATATGACCATGATACCACGCATTGACAAGTGCTCTCCGGTACCCAAGCCGCGCCATCAAGTTCAAGTTGTAGGAGTTAGTTTGCTAGAGATGGCCACGTGTGAAGTTTGTGGAGATGGTTTCGCAGACGATGCGGAAAAACACTTGTGCTCCCCGAGCCGAGACTCTTGCTCGCACGTGTGCCACGCGGATTGCTTGCAGCAATACCGATTAAAGCAGGGCTGCCCTATGCATGACTGCCCATTCTGTCTTCAGAATGAAGATTCCCAGGAAGAGGCTGATGATGCCGCTTTGCAAGAGATGGAGATTGAGGCAGCAATGGAAGCAGAGGCTGTGGCTGAGGGGGTAAAAAGAAAGACCAGAGAAGAGGCAGCTTCGCCTGTCCGTGCGGGTGGGGGCCCAGCGGGCAAGAAGTTAGCAACCAACGCAAGCCCGCCAGCAGGACAACGCAGCCCAGTGCCGCCCACCCAAAGGTCCCCAAGCCCAGAAAGCCCTCCCTTCACACAGGGTGGAAGTGAAGCAGCCCGCTTGTCCATTCCAAGCTTTGGGATTGACATCTACGACGACCTGAGTCGGACCAGCAAGGCATCTACCACGGTGAAGGATCCTATGCACGACGCCATGTCGGAGTACTTGGCTTGCAGGGATGAAGCACAAAGCCTTTCGTTGCTTCACACCAAGAGCACATATCAAGGGCTTGGAAGCCCAGAGGCTTCTTATCAAACCGTTCTGAATGCAGCCTTGAAAGACCCCAGGGACCACCACGCTGTGGCATCAGACTTTGCCTTCAGAACTCGAGAAGTGCTGCCCGTGCCTTTCGAAGTCAGCTTGAGAACCATTGCCCGCAAGGAAGGTTGTGAGCCTGAGACATTCATGGCGCCGATCCTCAGCAACATTGGTTGGATGGAGCATCCATGCAGGCACGCGGCTTCGATTGCAGCCTGATGAGGAGCACCGACGTGGCTGCGTAGTCCAGATTGTTTGCGCAGGTGACCCCAGCATGCGCAAGAGTTATTTGAAGGATTTTACCTGCAAAAAGCTTCTTTCCCATGCAGATGTCCCTGCTGTCATCAAGGCAGGTGGCGCCACATGCACGGATGCCACCATCAAGGGTCTTCGTGCTTCTATCAAAGAATATGCCCGAGCTGGCATCATTTCGGATGAGATTGCCACAACAATATGCCATGACATCCGGGAGGGAGACCCGACACTCAGGTCTGCATTACGGCAACAAAGAAAAGATGTGCACTTGGCTGAACTGCGAAGATGACAAGACAGTCACTGGAGATGGTGCCACGGCGCTGACTCATTACACCTTCGTTCACCAAGTGTATGGACAGGTGTCGCTTTGTGAGTATGTGCTCCAGCCGACTGCAAGCATGTTTTGCAAGAGAATCCATGCGACGTGGCAAACAAGGCCAGTGACAAGTGACCCTGATCAGCAGAGCCAGTCCAGCAAAGAGTTCCTGATTGACTTCTTTGGTTGGATGGGGCGCGTGGCAAGCAACCAGGACAAAGACCACTATTTTGACAAGTTCGCCTTGCCCGTGCTCAGGAAGGCTTTGCAGGGAATCTCCGACTTCTTTTCACGAGAATCACGAGAATGTAGAGGAACCAATCTAACAGAAGCTACGCTATGCTGACACAGATGTGGCTCGGTACGCTAATGCAGCCATGCGTTGCAGGCAGTATTCTGAGGCCCGAGCGCGTTGGCCCTTGATAGGATCATAGATGAGTTTGCCGTTGAGATGACCATCTTCGATTTGGGACATGCCTTGCATATCTGGCGTCGCCAAATGTGCTTGTGGTTTGCCTTCTATCGCTCCAAGCAAGTCCAAGCCTTGGTAGACCCCAAAGCAGTGCCAGATGTCAAGCCCCCAGGACTTGCAGATTTGGATGCCAAGATGAAATTGCAGCGAGTCATTCTGTCCAATCCTCGATGTGTTGGTCCAACCTCCACTGCGCACATTCGCTCTGTTCTGAATTACCACTTTCAGAAGGAGAAAGAGGAAAAACCAGCAAAGTTCGTCTTGGCAGCAGTCAAAGACCTCTTGAAAGTTGGCATCTTGCAAGAGGTTGACAAGAAGGAAGTGGAAGAACAGGCGCCCAAACTTAAGGACAAGAAAAGCGCCAAGAGCAAGGAGGCCACGCTAAAGAGCGAGCCACGAGGCCCGCCAGGTGGCCACGCTGTCCTGTACTACCAGACATGTGCCTGGGAGGGCCTTTTGACTAATTCGGAAGCTCAAGACATGATTGCCAAGCTTCAACTGAGTGCCAATGATTTCAAGTAGGATTCCAGAAATACGAGGTCTTGCACGGTCCCATGTCTAAACTGTCAGCCCAAAAAAAGAGTGACAATGTGCTCCAAAGCACTTGTTGTATATAAGTCTTGTTTCCAAAGATACGCGTCAATAATGGTGCGATTCCTCGAAATTAAGCTCTGGCTTCTTTCCAGCCCGAGCGTGTTCCTGACCCTACGAGGTGAATGCTTTCAATCAAGAGTGTATGGTGGCTGCAACATATTGTGCGTCAATTTCAATCAACCCACCCATTTTCATGACAAGACATTGTGGTGTGAAGATCTTGCATAGTGGTTCATCATGGTGTCCAAAGCCACATTCAAAACAGTCTGCTTGGCCTTCTAGTGTTCAATCGTGTGCGCTGGTGGCATGAGATTGACAAAGGCCCAATCTATTCTTTTTGAGGCAAAGCGGACAGCCAATACCGCGGCTCCAAAATAGTTTGTGCGGCGCATATGAAGCCACTGTTCGCTGAACATAGCCGTTCGAGATGTTGAAGCAATACACATGTTTTATTTGTTCCTGATCAAGTCCAAGAAAGAATTGAAACTTGCACCTGTTTATTCTGTTTTCTACCATTTCTGTTTTCTATACCATCCTTTCCGACTGCGATATAATTTTTCTGCTTCATGGGGAAAGAAGACTCACGGGAGTCCTGTCCACACCGACCATGTCGCTGACTCCTGCGTCTGCAGGTGCCGATGCTAAGTGGCACCATGACAATGGCTTCTACCTTAGGGATTCAGCAGATGCTGATGCCAGCATGCGTGATGTTGGTACGCAATCAAATAGAGATGGCACAATAGTCCACTCCTCATTGTGACCATCGGGTCTGTGGTCCCGCGGGGCACGTGCACTGCGCGTCGGTGCGCATTCCCGGAATGGCTGGAGGTTGCTTCCGGTGATGCTTGATTCTTCATGTCACATTGGTATCATGTAATGTTCAACGCAATTTTTCTAGGACATGTTTAAACATAGTCGATCTTTGCTTGGTCTCATACAAACCTTGTACAAAAGGATCTTGCACAGCAGCGTCTAGAAAGAACCTGTCAAGGAGATCTTGCACACGTCTTCTACAAAGGGAACTTGCAGAATCCAATCTGGTATTGATGCCACGGTGTTTGGAGTCGCCACTTAATCCCCGTCGGCCGCTCCACTCGCCCCACTCGCCCCCCTCGCCCCACTCGCCCCATTCGCCTCACTCGCCCCACTCGCCCCACTCGCCCCACTCGCGCCCCCTCGCCCCACTCGCCCCACTCGCCCCACTCGCCCCACTCGCCCCACTCGCCCCACTCGCCCAAACATTCCATTCACGTTACCACCTCTATTCCTTTTTCATACTGCTGTGTGGTGAAACCAAAGCAAAGCAAGCGGGGCAAGCGGGGCAAGCGGGAAGAACCACCGATCTTCCCTCGGCTTGCAAGTAGGGCAAGCGGGGCAAGCGGGGCAAGCGGGGCAAGGAGGAAGATTCACGTATTTTCCCTAGAAGCGGAGCAAGCGGGGCAAGCGGGGCAAGCGGCAGAAATCACTTAGCGGCCCCGCGGGGCACCCACACTGCACTATGGGCAAAGTGTAGGTGGCAAGACATTGGAATAATTTTGGTTAAAAGAGACAACACGATGTGGATAGACATTGGAATATAACTTGGTTTAGAGAAACAACACGATGTGGATAGACATTGGAATAATTTTGGTTACTGTAAAAGAAACAACACGATGTGGATAGACATTGGAATAATTTTGGTTAAAAGAAACAACACGATGTGGACAGACATTGGAATATAGCACCCCTAGTCGCATCCTAAGCATTGTTAGTTGAGTCACAGTTGATGGTTAAAATTGTGTACCATTATTTTACCTCTATATAATTGTATGTGCACATATATATATATATATACATTTAACTCCGCAGACAAACCAAATAAAAACATGTTTTGCGTTTCCCCTTGGAACTCTCACTTGCTGCCCAAAGCACTGGAGGCAAGAGCTGCGCCTTTTGCCACGACTGCACGCTGGAAAAAGGAAAGAGTTGCACACCCCATGGCTATGGATGCTCTACCTGGTCGGTTGGGAAAAGATGGGGAAGAGTTTTGCACCATGCAGTTAAAGGATGTTGAAGCCCTAGAAACCACTTATTCTTATGGTTGTCAATAGGGTTATCATGGGGTGACTTACGGGCTTGACGGGAACCAAGATGCCGGGCTGGGGGGAGATCGCAGCTTTGCCATCTTTTATAGTTTGTTGGATTGCCGAAGAGTCAAGAGCAGATGTGTACTCAGGTGATCAACTGTGGTAATGGAAATATATCCATTTATAATGCGTCCTACCTTAGGAAATTATTTTGAGGTGGGGGTTGGTTCCAAAATATTTTTTCTAAAATAATTTCCATTTTTAACATAAATTTTATGTTAAAATCACCCGACAAGAGCCATAGCAAAATAATTTTTGCACCCGTACCTTGATGATGGTGCAAAATAATTTTCCACCTACAGAGGTTGAAGCACCTTGAAATAATTTTAAACAAACAACTTAAGGCACCTCAAAATAATTTCTCAGTTGAACTGGGGAAATTATTTCATATAGTTCCAACTGTATAAAATAATTACCAGACACCCATGATGAAAATTATTTCATGGGGTGGGGGTACTTGCAAACCACCTGCAAAATAATTTCAGCATATTACATCAAATTTCAACTACATATTTCAACATGTTCAGTCAGGATCTTCTTTGAATCAATCTGCAGCCATTTCCAACTTCATTCAAGCCACATCCCGTCAATCCCAACACATCCCAGGGAAGTTGAGTTTTGCAAGGTTAGGTTTTTTTTGATTTCTGGGGTGGTCTAGTAGTTAACCACCCCCAAAATAATTTTTGGGGAGAGAGGAATCGATTCAGGTTTCTTTGCCCAAAAGCCGATGCTAAGTCGATGTTCTAAAAAATAATTAGTTCAGCCAGTAATTCATGGTAAATCTCAGGGTTTGTCTGTTCGAGGCAATTTGGATTTTGAACTACTCAATGGGAAGTTAATTTTGCCAGTTTAGGCTATTATTATTTCTGGGGTGGTTTAGTAGTTAACCACCCCCAAAATAATTTATGGGGTAGGAAGGGGTCGATTCAGATTTCTTTGTCCAAAAATCGATGGTCTAAATCATAGGTGGTTTAGTAGTTAACCACCCCCAAAATAATTAGGTTCTCATGGTTTGATTCTTTCAGACAGTTTGGGTCAATTTGGATCAGGTTTGGCATTTTTGACCTATTCCAGGGAAGTTGAGTTTTGCAAGGTTAGGTTATTTTGGATTTCTGGGGTGGTCTAGTAGTTAACCACCCCCAAAATAATTTTTGGGGAGAGAGGAATCAATTCAGGTTTCTTTGCCCAAAAGCCGATGCTAAGTCGATGTTCTAAAAAATAATTAGTTCAGCAAGTAATTCATGGTAAATCTCAGGGTTTGTCTGTTCGAGGCAATTTGGATTTTGAACTACTCAATGGGAAGTTAATTTTGCCAGTTTAGGCTATTATTATTTCTGGGGTGGTTTAGTAGTTAACCACCCCCAAAATAATTTATGGGGTAGGAAGGGGTCGATTCAGATTTCTTTGTCCAAAAATCGATGGTCTAAATCATGAAATTCCGACAATGCTTGTCGGGTGCATTCGGGAGGATAGGTAGGGTGACCCCCCAAAATAATTTTGTGGGGATTTTTGCTAATTATTTTGAGGTGGTTCTACTTGTTTTTTCAATCATCCAAAACCATCTTAAACCACCTTGAAATAATTTCCAAAATTATTTTGAACTAAGGGAAGTGGTTTTGAGTAATAGTAGAACCCTACAAAATAATTTATTTGCAAATTTTCAGAAATTATTTTGAGGAGGTGGGTAGTGATAAAGGATATTATTTTGGGATGGTTAGAGTGTTTTGGAAAAAATATTTTGTAGTGGGTTATGTACTGAAGCACCTCAGAATAATTCTGAAAAATTATTTTGGGGGGTCACCCTAGTGATTTTACCCAGGGTAGCCCGCATCATTTATAGATAATTGTCCAATTGAATTTTCATTTGCTGGGGATTTTCTATTGCCACGTTCGACTACCGGAGGGTAACCAATCTGGCCAGTAGAACAAGGATGTTTCCCAGCAAATTTGGAACTTTGAAGCAGCCAGACTGAGATGCAACCGCCCAAGATGGGTTGAACTCTGTAACTGTGGATGGTGTGTCACTTTCTTCAAACAAGCACTTATGATAACTTATAGCCCTTAACAGTAATAAAGTGTAATCAACGGGATTATAACTCCCACAGCTAAGGCTAAGCTTATTTAATGACTATAAGCCAGTTGTAACTGTCGAGGGCCATAATTGTTCACCAAGGAGTGCACCCGATCGGAGCCTCGGCATGAAGGGCTCGCACTCATGAAGCCGAAAGGAAGACTCCAATGACTGATGGTTTCAATGAATGCAGTGTATATTGTACTATTGTATATATATATATATATATATGTGTGTGTGTCTGGTTGGTAGTTTGGAACATTTTTTATTTTTCCATATATTGGGAATAATCATCCCAACTGACTATTTTTTTCAGAGGGGTTGAAACCACCAACCAGGTGTGTGTGTGTGTGTTGTTTTGTTCCATCCATCCTACCTGGTTTGGTGGTCTCAAAAGACTTGCTCTTGCTCTTGCTCTTGCTCTTGCTCTTGCTCTCTCTCTCTCTCTCTCTCGCGCATATGTAGACCACATATTCCCAAGTCCAGGCTCCCATTGAAGAACCCGTTTAAGGAAAGCCTCTCACCAATGGACCCCTCCCGAAACATCAGCAACAGGTATGGTATTTCATAAGCCCAATTCTTTTATGGGTTGATGGGAGTTAATAACATTTAATAACCCTTTTCCACAACTATCCAGTGGTTATGCAGGATCTAAGAAGGAAAGGGCATTCATATTCCCCATTGAATTTGGAGCCAAGGAGCTACTAAGAGTTTCCCAACCACATAGTAACAAGCTCCAGTAAATCAACAACTCGATATTTTTCAAAGCCATCATGCGTGGATCATTTTCCTTCGGGTGTTTTTGTTGTTCCGTATTCCATCTTAGTTTGCATGGATTTTCCCAACCACATGATAGATTCCCAGGTCTCCAATTTCCATACCTCGTCACTGCGGGATACCACTCCAGGTCTGGGTGTGGGCACGGCGGATTGCTGCAGCAGCAATGGCACCTTTGCTCGCTCTGGCGCCGTTTGCCATGCGCCCTGGCCTTGGAAATGGGATGAATTTCTAGATGACTTGCTAAAGATTGCTGGTATTGCTACGACATGTTGGGGTCACTTGTTTCACTTCTTTTGTTTTCGCTAGTGTGAGACCTCCTTTTGTGTGATTTTGCATCCTTTCAGACGTGTGGGCACGCCCGTTTTGTTCCGGGGGATGCTGTTGGCTCTTTCTGGGACACGATCTATATTTCGAAGTTCGGGTGACAAGCAAGGTACATAGAACGCAATGTCCCAACATTTGGTTGACCTTAGATGTGTTTGGCCATGTGGTGACTTTGTGCCACATATATGGTCTTTATGTATCTTTATGTGCCAATACGGTGCATATAATATTAAGATGCATATTTGTTGGTATACAGCACACTATGTTATCCCATCGTTCCTAGATTTCCCCAAGGTTTTCCCAATTGGTTTCCAATGATTCCATGGAAATCCACCATTTTTTCAGCGATTTCCACCATTCATTCCCTCATTCTTTCTATCATTCCGAAGCCATTCCTATACATAGCTATGATATCTCCAGGATTTTATGATTTCCCCAGCTACCCTCTGGTAAACGTTTACATAACTATGGAAAAACACAATTTTCAATGGGTAAATCCACTATTTCTATGGCCATTTTCAAGTTCGCAAACTGTGAATGTTTACCACTATTTCTATGGCCATTTTCAAGTTCGTAAACTGTGAATGTTTACCACTATTTCTATGGCCATTTTCAATAGCAAACTGTGAATGTTTACCACTATTTCTATGGCCATTTTCAATAGCTATGTTAGTTTACCAGAGGGTATTTGGCAGGTTCTTCTCCATATCTGCCCTGATTTCCCTCAGGTACCCGGCGTAGGTCCGGGTTACTGCACCGCGGGGCTCTGCATTCCTTCGATGCTCGACCCGGGAGTTTTGAGTGGTTGACCATGGTTGACCCCAAAAAAACATGGAGTTTGACCATGAAAAAGTGGGAAACCCATGGGAAACCCATGGGAAACCCATGGGAAACCATGAAACATTAAGAGTTTCGGTGCTGATTTTGGTGATTTTTTGTGGTTGATTATGATTCATTGTGATTCATGAATGTTAATCCTCATTGGAAGACACTCTGGAAGATATGGGAAACTATAGGAGAAACATAAATCCATGGTGGATATTTATACAAACTCCAAATATGACAAATTATTGGATACATTCATTCAAATTCCAGATTTGCTGATGATCTTATTTTCCCATTGCTCTATCCACCATTTGAGGAATCCACTGCGTGTTTTTTTTGGGGGTGGTGGTCCGTAAGCAAGCCCATATCGAGTTCCTGAGCTGGAAGTCCTCCAAGGAGGTGTTCAGATGCGGAGTTTACCTTTGTGGGTGACTATTGTGGCTGCTCGGCTCTGCTAGTTGTGGTACTGCAATGATCCCCTTAAATTCTGCAGGATCAATTGATCAACCCGCAATTTGGAGATGGTGAAAAAATCGCACCCCTAAAAATGGTGATGACTTGGGGATGGTTTATGGCATTGTGTTTACCACAATGATGTGACGGTTAGTTTTTCGATTATTATGTTGTTGCATTGCTGAACGGGATACAGGATTTCTTGTGGGGACAAATGTGGCGACGAAGCCGGCCTAACTGTTTGGAAGATGATAGGAACAAATTCGGGATGTTTGGCCAAGATTTCCAGTTGGTACTGTAAATGCTGAAATTCCTGAACAGCATTTGGAGGTTACAATTCCGTTGCTTTCACTTCATGGGTCTGCAATAGGTGCAGATACACACAGCTGTAGATTCATAGATGATAGCTTTCTAAGTTTCCCTTGATTTCTGACCATACTTCAACAACTTTCAACATGCATGCACACACACACACACACCGACAGAGAGATGTGCGTGTGTGTGTGTGTGTTTCTTTCACGTGCATTGACATACACATACATGTGGACACATTTTTTCAAATATGTTCAGTTTTTGATATGCAAACTGACCGATACAGTCTCCCCTGGCAGGTTTACAGCCACAGAACGAGTGCAAGTTTATGTGTTTCGATCGAAATGGCGCTTGCTCCAACATGGACGGATGGCTTTTGAACAAGCAGCCAGCCTCTTGCCCACGGTGAGTGCATGAGGATCAGGTGCGGTGAAGCGCAGGGAAGGGGAAACTGCCATTTACTTTATTGATACATCCCCTTTTTTTGCGGGACTCATGTCTAAAAAATACATGTTTTGCCAGGTGGGTTTCTACGTTTGCCACCGACCTGGCCTGTTTTCATTGGAGATCGTTCCATTTCTGGGGGGTCACCAGGGCCTACCAGATCTCAGGGTTTGTTCCCCAATTGTGCTCCAAATAACCACCATGATGCCAACTTCAAGAAATATAAACCCATTTGCAAACGGTAGACGCAAACACAAATGTCGTATGCATGCGTATGACATAACATACATTTTTATTATTAGTATTATTAGTATTATTATTATTATTTATTATTATTATCAATATTTTCATTGCTATATTATCAGTTATCATCATTATTATTATCATTATTATTATTGTTATTTATTTATTTATTTACTTATTTATTTATTTATTTATTTATTTATATGTTTATGTATTGCTTGTTTATGTATATACTACAGTATATGGTTCTGACCTGGGATCATTGACGTTGACGTGGGGATGCAACCACAAAAAAAAAAACCTCCAAAGGTGACGTTCATTAAACAGGCAGTTATTTTCCGGTAATCCAAGGTGGCAACCTACCATTGATGGATTATGTGTTCATTAAACACCATATTGTTCATATTCGGTTTCATTAAACAGCCACGTTTGATGACCGTAAAGATTCATCCCTATGAGAGACCTGCTGTTGGTTGTTGGTGAAGTTTGTCCCAAAGCCGAGAACCCCTTGAAGGGGAGGTCACCGGAATTGCTCCCATGAGATCCACTGACCAAGGCCAACTACGTCCGGAACCAGGTGCCATGCAATTGGAAGATCTTCTGCTGCAAAGTTCAAAGGTTACCCTTCAGTTCGGGCCTTTATTGTGATTGATTGGTGATTTAATGAAGAGATTGAAAAGTTTTTGGTGATTTTATGGGACTTCATGGGATTTTCATTGGATTTCATCGTGATTTTCGTGGGACCTATCGGGGTTTGATGGAGATTTAGTGAAATTTTCGTGTCATTAAACATGGCGGGCAGATGATCAATTCCCTAACTAGTCATGGAAGTTTAGAGCTGGGAAAATCATTGAAATCAATGAGATTCAATGAGAATTTTTACAGCAAGCTGTGTTTGATGACACCTGGGGGTAGTCTGAGTTGCTTTCCAAGTGGGATATCAACAAATCCCACGGGGATGACTGGGATGATGGGATGTTGTTGGCATTGGCCGTTGGCCTTAGTATGCCTTAGTATGCCTTAGTATGCCTTAGTATGCCTTAGTATGCCTTAGTATGCCTTAGGTGAATCAACAGAGATGATCTCAGATGTGTGATGTATTCTATGTGGCTTCAACTGCTTCAACTTTCGGATACTTTCAGGGTGTACTGCGATGTGGCTTCAAAATCCTTCAGAGTGGCCACTGCGATGTGTCCTGACCAGACTTGCACCGCATTCGATTGAGGAAACCCGGTGACGGTGTTTGCATTGACGGTGACTCGCCCAGGGGATGGACATGCATGTGTCAATATGCAGGGATTAGCCTCCAGTAAATTAACACAGACCCTGCCAGAAAGGGGTTGGAAGATTAGCTTCCACCTCTAAAAATGTGGTGATCAGTGATTTTCGTTAATTTACCAGAGGGTATAGTTATGTATAGTTAACATCATAGAGGTTCCCTCAGAGAATCCAAATCAGTGGGTAAATCGAAGCCGATCTCATGGAATTTGATCCCTGCCGAGGACGACCCCTTACATAATTGAAGGGCTTACCACCCAACCTGCTATCGGGGTGTCACGATTGTCAGCTTTGGAGGGAAAATTCCGCCAGATTTCGGGAGATGAACATTCATGTATGGTTAATATGTGTTATATCTTGACCCCAAAAACTAGGTAAATGATCGATACATGATACATGGATGGTGTGGTTGTGGAAAATCCAGGTGGCACCAAGACCGATGGCGATCCCGTGCACCAAAATGTCCTTTGACCCATGTTTGGGGTACGATGTTCACGGGGTAACCGGCATGTTTGTGGTTTTGACCAAAGATTTATAATTGTTGGTAAGGTGAAACCTCTATATGTCATGTCGCGTATGTTTTTTGTTCCGGTGTATATACTGTCTGTATATCTGTATGTTGTTTTTTGGATATTTGATATGTGCATTTGTTAGAAGTGAGTTATTACTTACTTTAATTACGAAAACGAAAACCATTTGCTCACTGGTCACTTGACATTCAGCCCCTCTTCATTTCATGCCCTGAGGCTCCTGCATTCCTGCCTTTGCAGGTTGTGGCAACAACTTTTTGGAGGCGAGGCAGTGGGGTTTGGTAACAAGGACAGAGATGGGATATATGGGATATACTAACAAGAACTGGGATACTGTAGTGAATGATAATCAGAACCAATCAATGTGGTGAATCAAACTGGTGAAGAGGTTGTCGTTGCATGCGTATCTATCTATACAGGGAGTCTTTACATATATACATACACACACACACACACATATATATATATATACATATGTACATGTGTGTGAGCGTGTTACATTAGTAAATACAAATAAATGCATCATGAAAAATGAGGACCAGGATAAAACGGCAGCGTTTTTCCCCAAAAAAAAAGTCGGTTCTGTCCCGGCAGTTTCACAAGCGTTCCAGGAGGACGAGGAATGTGAGTGCAAAGATGGTTCAGTGAGCTGCAAGTTCTGTAGCCACTGCAAGTGCGAGCCCCAGGGTTTTCCCGTTGGCTTTGCGTTTTCGCAAAGCCATTCAGGGTAGGACGGAAGGACTGTATACCCTTTGGTAATTAAACATGGCAATTGGAAGTCCCTTGTAAAAGGAGGTTCATGGAGGTTCTAATGGGAAAATTATCAAAGGGGATCTTTCATTGTCATGTTTGATTACCGGAGGGTATATTTACAAGAGCATACCAATAATCAAATATAATCAATGGTTTTGATTGAAATGGGATGTACCCTCATATGGCTGCCTTAGCGGGGAACATGTTGGTAATCCATTTGGGGTATGCATTTTCAGACAAACAACCCGAACGAATCGCCAAGCAAGGATATATGAACATCATAACTATAGCCAACAACAATGGTGACGGTAGTGGTGATACATGGCATAACCCATGTTATCCCATGTTTGCTTTGTGAAGTTTTTTTTTGAGTGTTTTCTGGTGATATGTGCTGGTTGATTTTTTTTTGGGATTCAACCGTCTCAGACATGGATTTTGTTCAGTAGCCACAAGAAGTGGGTAGTAGACTTTGTGGGTGTGTTGACGGTTCAATAATCATTAACCATGTATATCCATGTATATATATATTATAATATTATTTTGGATGAATCCATTTAATCATGTAATTTGGATGTACAAATCATAATCAACACGAACGGTGATGCAACAAATTTGACCCATATTTGGTGGATGGTTTCACTGATGCTGATCCCGACGCAGAACTGATTGAAACCACTAAGCAGTTGCCGAACTGTGATCGGAGTCTTGGTGGATATTCCATAATATTCCAGTTCACAGATCCCAGAGGTCTAGGAGGCACTAGACGGGGCTAAACAATTTCCTGCATGGCTTTCCCTTGAATCATTCAGGTAATGTTTGATAGATTATAGAATGCCGGGAAGCATGCAAACATATGTTTTGGTAACCTAACCGGACAGCCATTGGAAATGATTATTTTCATTATCATGCTCCTATACCTATGATGTTTCAACAAACATGTGAACAGGATTAGCCATGAACCACACTCAAATGATCAGAATTCATGATAATTCATATAGAAGAATATTTATGAACATTATTCATGATAACTCATGAATTAATGTATATAGAAGCCCTTGTTTGAACATTTATTCAACAGCTATGGTTTCCTGAAGCTCCAGTGTCCATTTCCGCCAGAAGTTCATCCACTGGAACCCCACGAGTCGAGGCAACGAATTTCAACGTGGAAAATCGTAGGACGTCCCTCCGTTTTAAGATACGTCGAGTTGCTCAGCAGTTCCACAGGAACGGAGTCTTTCAATTAATCTATATATATATATATATAGCAAACACCACAAGATAAGACAAGATATAGGAGAATAAAGTCCTAGTACCATAGTGTAAGCATATGAGCAACTTAACTTGCGCATTGCTTTATCCTTTTCTCATGTTGATTACTGTGGCCATTTGTGGCCTATGTATGATAGTTTTCTCCTATGATCTTCCCATGGCAAGTGGTTGATTTCCGCGCCCTGGGTTATCCGCTCTGGTCAATGACTACTGAGTAACTGGGCTGACTATCCCAAGATATCTCAAGTATACATGCACTTTTGGTTAAGATCCAACAGCTTTCGGTGAGGTGTCCTTGTTCGCGGCAAACGCCTGGAATGGTATAGGCCCCTGAAAGCAAAATTTATAACACACATATAGACCCCCAAAACCACTTCAGCACATGATTTTAATGTGTGTCCCAAACTGGAACCATGATTCGCACTTCTCCCGAAAGCCATGAGATCCGTGCGCCCCGTGGGTTTTGCAGGTTGGACAAGGGGAGGAAATGCAGCCCAGACAGCGATGATGGCATGTGCTGCGACGCTGCCGGAAACTTCAAGTGGCCTGGCGGATTTTGTGACCTTGATCCAGGACCAGGCCATACCAGGCCATGTGACCCTTTGGATTTTGTTAAAGTTCTTGCCCCCTGGAAAAGGTCGGAAAAAATCATTCCAAAAGGATCCAAAAGGGTCATTTAGCCATTGAACAAAGGGTCACTTAGATTATCAAGGGTTTGAATATGTTTGAACCTATTTTAGCTGAAGGGTAGGTAGAATGATACTGACCCAATCCGCACTCTTAGATACTCACCACGGTCCCTTGCTTACATCGCAATCACAATCACAATTTGAGGCCCAAAGTATTCTAATAGGCTTCGGAATCCAGTGCAGAACCTGTATCCAAGCCCCATTGGGGGAACTGAGACCCATGAAGAGGTCACTTATCAGCATGTCATAAGTGGTATTTCTTTGGCCTCTAAAAAAAGTCACAAGAACGTCCTGGAATTGATAGGGGAGATCCGCTATAATTAACACGCAAACACACACATATATATACATATATATATATATATAGTTATATATAAGAGCTAACTTGGATGTGAATTGTGCATCCCAGTTTGTAAATGATCAGTAAGCCATGGGTTATAAACATATTATCAACCACATACCAAGTCGGATGATCATACATTCAGAGGAACGCAAATGAGATGGTCATTCGTGAGTTACCCGTGAATTTCAACTACGGAGTTGTGGCTACCTGCGCCACGGTCATCGTCATCGTCATCGTCATCGTCGTCCTCATCATCATCATCATCATCATCATCATCATCATCATCATGCACATGTTTGAACTCATTCGAGAATGTGGCGAATGTGCAAGATGATGTAGGCCTCCTGGTGGTAGTTTCCTTGTTTCTTCAGGTCGGGTCTTTGCCAGAAAGGCAATTTCAAGGGCTACTGCATGCAGGGGCTCTGCTTCTCGGCGCTTGAGACATGTTGAGACTGGACGTCCATGCTTGGAACTTGGCAATCTCTGAACTTGGCAATCCGATTCCCCCTAAGATTTCCTAAGACTAAATACCCACCTTTATGAACAGATCCCATCCTAAACTGGGGCTTCTACAGGGGGGATTGCTTGGGACCGGGACCGGGCTTCTGATCCCGGAAAAAAGCAGGGTATGTTGGGATATCCGAGAATACGAGCCATCTAACATCATACCTCCGTTATCAGCCAGCTATAAATCTCGAAAGCTTTCATGAAATTTCCCAAATCATCCACGTATGGTGCTGCATACCTACATGAGATCGTCATCCAAATGAACCCAACCGATTCCAAATGCAGTACGCAACATGTTTTGTTCACAAAATCACTCAAATATTGGGAGAATTCCGGAATGGATATAAAATCAACCCCGATGAATAATCCATGTATTGTTAATTTTGGGATACCGATGATTTTCCCATTTAGTGGCCCGGGAGTTCCCAGCGGCCCGCAGCGGCCCGGGTCCATGGTATGAATTTTGGGGCTTCCACTGAGGCCACGACACTCCATGCTCCGGTTACAAGAAGAGCTTCGACGGATGGGGGGAGTTCTGTGGCGTGCACAACCGCAACCCTTGCAAGCTGCTTGGAATCACTGGGTGAAACTCCTGGCTGGTGGGAAGTATGGGTCAGATTTGGTCAGTCATTTGTGGTTCTTGGCCGTAGCACGGCAAAACTATGAAGTTTTTGGAAAGGGTGGGCTGGATTAGGCTGGATTAGGTTGGCCATGGGCCATGGGGAGTTTCATTTTTTCAGGGTAACATAGAGGAAACATCCGACTGCTTTGTTTTTTTCGGCTGCGTGGCATGGTTTTTGGCCAACCCTACAGGTAAGAACCAAGTAGGTAGCTGAGGGTTTATGCCTCGAGCTGAGATTGAAGAAGCGCAAGAGTGCGACAGACGCCCCCAGCAAATACTCATGTGATCTCATGTGTTGTTTGGGATGCCCTTTGTTGATGCAGGAATCAGTCAAACTTGAGGCACCGGGCTCTCGTCAAAACATAGACTTGAAGTGGGATCTTTCAGGAGTTTCACTCGGCCCATACATAAATTAACCAACAATGGTAGCAACACAGGGTATGGAAGCGGTTGCTGTACGGACTCTTGCTGTGCGATTACCTTGGATGGTTTGACATGTGCCAAAATGGCTCAGCAGTCCGCAAGGAGAGTTGCACCCTCGTTGAAAATCAGGAAACATACTACAGTACTTATATAATATTATTGAGATGCTTGCTAGCGGTTCATTTGGAAGCATTTGCCCTCTGAAACATCAAGCAACGTCTCACCTTGCTGAAAATGTACCCGCTGGCCAGGTTCAAATGCGAGGTGAATGGCAAGTGCCAGAACCTTCGTGCATGGGTCATCGGTGGTGTCTTGCTATGTGATTGGCAGTGTTTTTCTCCTCTATGTTACAATCCTTTCCCCCTAATACTAACCCACCCCTATTAATAAACACCTCAGGTAGTTTTTATTATTAGTGTGGTATTATTCGGTATTTATTATTAGGGAACCCTATTAATAAATTTAAAACCTTAATAATAAAAACATTTTTTTCCGATTTCAAAATAAATTGGATTTCCTTATGTAACGCAATTAAAATATTGCAAACAATTGGATTTCGAAGCGGACCCTATTAATAAATTTAAAACCTTAATAATAAAAACTTTTTTTCCGATTTCAAAATAAATTGGATTTCCTTATAACGCAATGAAAATATTACCAAAAATTAAATTTCGAAGCGGACCCTATTAATAAAATTCAAACCTTAATAATAAATACTATTTTTTCCGATTTCAAAATCAATTAAATTTCCTTATATAACGCAATTAAAATATTGTCAAAAATTGCCCAACGAAGCAGGCCCTAATGTAATAGAATAAATTTAAAGCCCTAATATTAAAAAAAAATCGGACGGACCCTAATAATAAACACCCCGGGGTTGACTAGTTTTTAATATTAGGGTGCGAAACACACAAATGCTAGCTTTAAATTGTTTTCTAAAGGGGGGCAATTAAAAGTCAAATTGGCCAATCTGAAATTTTCTGAAATTAGAGATGGACCCTAGTTTTTAGTATTTGGGGGAGGTTTAGTAATATAGGGGGAAAGGATTAGTAATTCCCAAACTGATAGACATGAGGATTCCACGATATTTGCTATTTTTTGAGGGGGTTCGTTACTATACATATCTATGCATTTGGGTTGGTCATGAAATATTTTTCATAGCCAGTTTGGAGCGGTGCTCCATGTTCCACTCCCACCAGCTCAAAGCATTTCAGCCGACTTTAGCCGCACCAATTGTTACTTAAACCCTCGACGTACAAATGAAAAGGGGTAAACGATGGTTCAAAAATGTAAAAGTCTATATAACGGGTATATTTATCCAATTTTTCTCTATGCTTAGATGTTACTTGGAGGGTCTGCGTAGATGCACGTGCCCTCTGGCAATCAAACATGGTAATGTAGGGTTTCCATGCGAAAATCATCGAACAGCTTGCCATGTTTGATTACCAGAGGGTAGCACTGCCAAATGGCAGTTGCTTGTTCATATGTTTTGTGGGAAGCTACCTCGCCGCCTTGTTTTGGACCAGGCTTATAGAAATCTGCGAGGATCCCTAGCAATACCCAAAATAGGGGGGAATCGGGTTTAATAAGCCTTTTTCATGGCAGCTGATGCTATTCAATATTCCTCGACCCTCCAAATCCTAGAAAAATATAGGTGTTTTCGGAATTTGACCTATATCGACTGATTTTACCCAAAACACCTAGATCTTGGATTTTAGGACTTTGATTGCATGTTTTTGGGTTTGGTGAGACAAAGGCCAAAAAATGTTTGCAGCGCATCAAACGACTGGGGATAAAACCCGCAAAACCCCGCAAAAAACCGGCAAAAAGCCCGCAAAAACCCGCAAAAACACGCAAAAACCCGCAAATCCTGAAATCTCGTTGTTTTAGGTAGTTTTCGGATTTTTTTGGTTGTTCCAAAAATCATCACGGTTTGTGTACCCGGCCGTAGTGCTGAGATTTTCCCAGAAACATACATGTTTGGAACAAAGTGAATCATTTTTTGGTTTGTTTGACCTATCTTCTTAGAAGGACCTTTTTTTCCTCGGCAGTGGAGGGTCGAGGTTCATTCAATAAGGTTTGATTTGTTCTCGAGGCATCTTTGTGAGTTTTTGTTTTTCTTCAAAGACCTTTAGACTTCTAATCCCTTCCCTGAAATTTTCCAAACTGGGAGATGGACCCTAGTTTTTAGTATTTGGGGGACGTTTAGTAATAGGGGGAAAGGACTATTTTGAAGTCAACCATGTACTGATAGCTGTCGTGGCTGGAAATCCTTGCCCCATTTTTCTTGTCAGAGGCAGCTTTTGTCGGTTCCTTGTCGGTTCCTATCCTTTCAATTGCGTTCTCCCATGTGATTATGACATAGTATGGCAGTGTATCATATATATATATATACATACATGTATATATGCTGCACGTCCTTTCTCTTGACTGATATATATATATATATAATATAATGAATGCACTAAATCAAATGAAACAATTTCATGTTCCCGTTTATACCATACACTGCACTTAATGACTAGTAGGCAGAGACACATTTCCACACATTCCCAATAAAATGGTTTGAGATTCACATTGTCGAGATACGCTAAACGGAGATGGTGAAGTATTGTAATCGTTTGCTAATTTGATTAGGGGTTGTCCTAACATTGCGTACCCAAAAATACAAATTCTAATCAAGCATATGTAGAGATATATGCACTATGTATCACTATGTGATGTTTTAGACTTTCAACAAACAGGTCATGCCATCCCGGATGGTACGTCAGTGGTGTGCCATTTTAACGGACCCGCCGCGCCGAGTCCGGCCGGTGGTTTTTCCGCGCAGGTCAGCCGATGAACCACTTCGCCGACGGGACCCATTGCCAGATGTGCGGAGCTTGGGGGTTCAACTCATGGAGGTTGGAAACATGGGAAAATCTGAGAAAACACACACACTATACCCTTTGGTTATGAACAGTTTGCCATGGCATAGATGGCCCATAGAAATAGTTGGTTTTTAACTATTATAACTATAATAGCCATAGTGTATGATACTTATAGTCATATTTACCCTCTGGTTATGACTAACAGTTTGCCATGGAAAATCTACCCATTTTCAAGAACGGTAAACCATCTATTTCTACGGGCCATCTATACCATGGCTATGTCATAAAAATAACCAGATCGTAAATGGATGTTTTCATGCGGACACTATTGAACTATATATATATAATATTTTATAATACTACATAGGTGATGTTCCAGCAAGCCATGTTTTGACACCGGAGGCTAGCTTTATTATTATACACTAGCATATTTGATAGGTAACATTATAGCTGGATCGTCTGTGTATGCTCCCTCATCTACCTTGCTGAGTCTTGACAATCTTGATCCCGGACCCAGGGCGGGACGAGAAGGCACTTGCCAGAAAGGCTTTTGCGATACTCGTGCAAAGAAGGAATCTGGGCTGTCGTGACGTCAGGAACCGTGCTTAGGAATGGTGTAACCATCCCAAATTGGTCGCAATGGAAGCGGGCCGCAAGTTTCAGGTTAATGTGAAATCATGTGAAATATGTTGATTTACGCAGATTTTTCGGGTCCCAACTATAAGATAATTTGATGAAATGAAGGGGATACAACTTTTTTTTTTGGATTGAACTAACCATGATAGATCATTTCCCGACCGACAACTGGGGAGATGTTTGGGGCTCTTGGATGGCTACTTGAAATGTGCTGTACTCTTCTGCTACAAACGAATACCAAGGGTACAGTCTTTTGATCAAAAACAAAGCTACTGGATAAGATTGTTCTGCTAGGTGTGTGTTTTTTTGTGTTTGTTTTCCAGCCCTGAACCGGGATTTCTTGTGTTTGCTGTGCTTGTTTGCTTGTTTGTTTCTTTACCCATTGGTTACTTCCCCAGACTTCGGGGCTCAAATCGGCGAATACGGAGTTATTTTCATCATGGTCCCCTGGCCATGCGGAACAGTTGGGTGTGGTCAAGACACCACGTCAGTGGTCACAACCCATGCATGGTCCCAATTTGCAATGGTTGGATTTGATGCGAGTCATTTCTTTTCATAATTTTGTATCGGGCTTTATCCTATATATATATGGTAACGACATTTAAATATGTGGAGGGCGGGCCAGACCGCGAGGCCACGGAGGTAGTATGAAATACCAGTTCGTATATTTAAATGTAGTTACGGTATGTTTAAATGACTTGGATTCCGTATGTTGAAATGGCCGGGCGGGCCAGGAAAAACCTTCCCGGAGGTAGTCTAAAATACCTGTTCGTATACATAAAATCCGTATATTTAAATGTAGATACCGTATATATAGTTATAAAACCCATAGATTCTTACCAGCAATGTCCATAATTGTTGGATCATTTTATCTTTTTTGTGGATTTTGCAGACCCAATTCTTCGCACATGAAGCTGTTCGTTTTCTCCAGGAAGTGAGCCAGGTGACTGTGTGTCCATCTTTGGGAACATCCGCGGTCCTTTTAGGGAAATGGACACATCAATTTATAAGAGTTTAGCCATGAAACAGCGTGAAAGAGATAGGGATTCAGCCAGTTATCAATACAATTTGGTGTGTCTGAAAATGGGGTATTAACAAAAATTACTTTACTTCGTGTGATCCCCACCGTGACATTTTTACATTTTCTTACTGGCAAATCTTCTGGCATTCTATCTGACATATCTTCTGGTATTCTATCTGGCAAATCTTCTGGCATTCTATCTGGCATATCTTCTGGCATTCTATCTGGCAAATCTTCTGGCATTCTATCTGGCATATCTTCTGGCATATATTCCGACATATCTTCTGGCATTCTATCTGGCATATCTTCTGGTATATCTTCTGGCATATCTTCTGGCATATCTTCTGGCATTCTATCTGGCATATCTTTTGGCATATCTTCTGGCATATTATCTGGCAAATCTTCTGGGATTCTATCTGGCATATCTTCTGGCATTCTATCTGGCATATCTTCTGGCATATTATCTGGCAAATCTTCTGGGATTCTATCTGGCATATCTTGTGTCATTCTATCTGACATTTTATCTGGCATACCTTCTGGCATTCTATCTGGCATATCTCATAGCATTTTATCTGGCATATCTTCTGGCATTCTATCTAACATTCCATCTGGCATATCTTCTGGCTTTCTATCTGGCATATCTCATGAGGTCCGGCAGGGAACACTTGGCGTGGATACTCGCGGTTGAGGTCCGGCAGGGAACACTGGGCGTGGATGGTCGTGGTTGAGGTCCGGCAGGGAACACTGGGCGTGGATGGTCGTGGTTGAGGTCCGGCAGGGAACACTGGGCGTGGATGGTCGTGGTTGAGGTCCGGCAGGGAACACTGAGCATGGATGGTCGTGGTTGAGGTCCGACAGAGAACACTGTGCGTCGAGGGTCGCAGTTGAGCAGGAGGACGAGGATGACGAGGAGGACGAGGAGGACGAGGAGGACGAGGAGGAGGAGGAGGAGGAGAGGAGGAGGAGGAGAAGGAGGAGAAGGAGGAGGAGGAGGAGGCAACTGACATAAAATCTAACAACCCTCACCTGGCAGGTGGGGAAAAACTAGGAGGCATGATCATAAACCACCTATAGGGTAGCCTATTTTCTGGTCACTTGAAGCCATGAAACCGGTGGGCTTCACCCCGGCCCAACCAAGGAGGTGCATCCCCGAGGAGCGAGCTGGATGATTGTCATCGGATGCACTAGGAATTATTATGGGGAAATTTCCTGCATATATCTACAACACATCACACATATTAACACATACAATAATATATATAATATAATAATATAAAATACTAATAACAATAACAATAATAACAATAATAATAACAATAATAGTATATAAATATGTATGAAATTCAAATGTACGGGAAGATACAAATATTATTGATGCACATACGATAAATAAGTGAATATAGATAGATATAGATAGAGAATTAGATATAGCTAGATATAGATAGATACTGATAGATATGGATAGATGTAGATAGCTATAGATAGATGTATATATATATAGATATATGTATATATATATTTATAATAAAGATATAGATAAATATAGATATTGATAGATATAGCTAGACATAGCTAGATAAAGGTAGATATAGATAGATACAGATAGATGGACAGATGGATAGATAGATAGATAGATAGATAGATGGATAGATGGATAGATGGATAGATGGATGGATAGATAGCTAGATAGATAGATATAAGGTGTCCAAGACGGTGGGATGTTTTTTGTTGGTGAATGTTTTTTCTTCCGGATTCTAGAAGCCAAAATGTTGGGAGTGTTATGGTATGGTATCATGGTTTGGTTTTTGCATATATATATATATATATATCTTTATTTCAGAATTTGATGATACGCTTTGCCCCAGCTATGCACCTTATTAGTTCGTTGTTTTATTCAGGATTTCAACAAGTGCTGCGCTCAGTTTTTTTTCCCCTCCACGGGATGATTGGGGCATATATTTATTGAAGTAGGTTTTATGCAACGTGGGTAAGCCAAGTACACATATCCCATGCATTTGTACAACCCATATAAATTATTTTAGATTCATCGATTCCTGGCTAAGATCGTGGTTTACCACATTTTCAACACAAATGCCGCATGCATTTGTCATCCAAGTCGACGGCCCTTTGGCCCTTTTCGTTTTCCAGGAAAGTCCGTGGAAGTTGTAAGTTTCCATCCACGTGACGTGGCTGAATGATGTTGGCTTCAGCAACGTACTGTAACGTACCTATGGGATGACTGACACATATTGTGCCCGATTGATATTGAGATTTTACTACCTAAAAAATGGGGATTTATCGTATATTCACGTGCTGGGAATGATGATGATGATGATGATGATGATTGTGATGACGACAATGATTATTGCATCAAAGAGTGTGAGCTCAATTCTCGGGTGTTTCAGATGCATGATACTTCACTGCATTTTTGGTGTGCTTGATGATCCCTCCCCATGATGTGGATTATGTACCCATGGCCGTCATGTGTTTTGTATACTTTATAGCAATGTGTCTTCATCCATTTCCATTTTTAAAACTTCATGTGCCTATATTTCTACACCCATGGTCTTAGCCACATGGTTGGTTTCCCCATTATCTCATATTACTCACCCCATGTCCCCATCTACCCCATCGGAATGGTTCGTGCCCCATGTGCTTCAGATGGCCATGCGTTGTCCAACCGCAGAGTGCCAGATCCAGGACAGGGAACGATGATCACCGCGAACGGTTTTTGGTGAAACAAATCCCTCAAACCAATGGCTTATACTATACCAAATATTTGATACCTTTTATGGAAGATTTGCTGGAGGTTTTTGGTGAACCTTTTTTGGTGAATCTTCCCCACCAAATGTTTGATATACCATGATATACCTCCCTTAAAGTCTTGGTTGGCTTTATTTTGGAGTCCCTTCTTGGGAGTATTTAAAACTTTGTGGTTTGGGAATGATCAAACATACGGTTTCACCGCTGAAAGATCGGATTTCACCAATATCTCCAATGCGTTTGAAGTCTTGACTTCAGACATGAGTATTATATACTGTTCAGAAATAAAAGTAATAAAAGCCATGACTTTGGGAATGAACTTGGGGATTTTGACCCCCAATTTGGGTCATGAAAGATTCTGATCAAGCAGTGGAGTTAGAGAAATTTTAAGTGACAGATCCCATCGAAACAAACCCCAAAGGATGTCTTTCAGATGAAACTCCTGCCATTTTTGGACGCATCCAAATGGCAATTGAATGGAGAAAACCATGATTTGCCTAAGGGGTTATATAGATATATAGGGTGTGTCACATTGGACACCCATTTTTGGGTTTGGCGCGACGTCTCATGCCATACAGATGATGTGGGCCCTGAAATGGGGTATACGGTATACATCGTCTACTGCAACATGGCAATGTGAATGTGGGAAAATCTTTTGGACACCGTGGCACCGTAAACCATTGTATTCGGTTCGCCATTTATCCCGAATTCAACAACCCCAGGTTTTGCATGGTACCCAGCATCTCAATATACAGAATCAACTACCTGTTGTTCATGCACGGTTAACACTAGGTTGTTTATGCTAGCGGGTGGAAAACCGCGCGTGTAGTCGTGCTACTTTTTGAATATGGGGGTTGGGTGGGGTGGGGTGGGATATTAACGTTCATGTACCATGCGTACATACGTGGATGCTATGCTGCTGCTACGTCACTGGTCAGGGGTTGGGTGGGGTGAGGTGGGATATTAACGTTCATGTACCATGCGTACAGACGTGGATGCTACGCTGCTGCTACGTCACTGGTCAGGGGTTGGGTGGGGTGGGGTGGGATATTAACGTTCATGTACCATGCGTACATACGTGGATGCTACGCTGCTGCTACGTCACTGGTCAGGGGTTGGGTGGGGTGGGGTGGGATATTAATGTGGGATAAAGATGTATACATTATAAATTATACATATACATATATAGATATGATATAACGTTGTCTATCACACGCGGTTTCCACCTTTAGACGATGGCATGGTTTTGGCCACTGGTGCTTTGCAATGTGTGCAACCGACCAACAAACTTGGTCGCAAAAGCATCTTGGTGACAGACGGTGCCCCATGCTACCCTAAACTGACCTCTGAACACAATCTGCTTCATGAAGCTTGCAATCACAGTAAGGGCATCTTCTGCATCACCAAGAAAAAGACATGGGGAAACTTGCTAGTGCACACCGGTGGCATCGATGGAATGTGGAAAATTTCCAAAGGTGCAGTGTCGTCCTCTTGGAGCACACGTAAAGATGATGGTGCTGTGAACCCTCAATTGCTTCAAGGAATAAGGATTTGGCAATGGCGATGGCACCATGGAAATTCCACTGACTTCCTCAGTCTCACAGGCCGCGCTCTAAGCAAACGCTTGGAGAAGTGACAAGCCAGCGAAGAACAAGGAAAAGGCTTCCACCCCGCCACAACCACAAAAACCTGTAAATACCACGACATTCCTTCAAAGTCATTCAATTTTGACCGGCAAAATTTAAGGTAATGTTCATCATAAAATGTGTACGGCGCCACAGCGCCAGAAGAGTTTCTTTTCAAAAAGTGCTTAACCGCTAGCGCGGTTTCCCACCCGCCGGGTTGTTTATGAAGTTGTGTGTGGGTGCAGTTGTAACTTGGGGTGGAAAGATGTTTGTTCGTTGTCCGAACTTCCAGTTATGAAACATCAATTCTCATGTCCACTTACCTATCATCTCAAACATTTACCAACCATTTCCTGAGGGATTTCCCTCAAACCAATTCCTTGCCAGCACCAGGAGCCAAGAAGGACCACGGACTTGGAATGGGTAAACTTGAAGTTTGAATGGATGTCGAGCTCAAACTGTATCAAGGGGGGATATACCATGATATACCATAGCCATCCAGAAAGCAGATGTTTTTTGTTTTTTTTGAGGTGCCGTACCATATTAAACCATATTTTGGTGGTAGGTACCTGCAATTTAGGTGCTTGAATTGAAATGGCCATTGGTATTTGTTTTGCTTTCTTTGTAGGAAAGGTACATCCATTTTGAAATCCAGTAAAATTGCGATTCATTGGTATTTTCTATACTTTTCTATCCTTCTTGGGGTTACTATACATGGTCAACAATGGCCGCAACAACGGCCAGTGTTCAGAGCTCAAGACATGGGATACTTCACCAGGAGACAAGCCGAGGAGTTTGCGTTCCTTGGCCGGAGGATGTGGCTGCAGTTTCGTGCTGTGTACGGCATGGCTCGTATAGTCAATATATGCCATAATATACCTAACATGGTATGTATATATATATATAGTAGATATAGTAGTATTTAGGGAAATATAGCTTACTTTAAGGTATCCTACTAAAATAAAGTGACACGATACTATGTAGTTTTATCAACGACCTTTTTGATATGGGATAGCAGAATGTATTGTGACATATTGTGACATTGCATAAAGCCATATAATAACGTACGTACTAAGACACACACGCACACACACATATATATATATATGTATATGTATATATATATAATATGCATGCACATACACACAAATTTGATGATCATATGCAGGATTGCATTGCGGGAAGGACCCCCTCCAGTTATAAGTTGATTTGAAACCCGCATCTAACGATAGATCTACGGTCGCGACTCAATTTTTTTTCAGGCTGCGATCCCTGATATCCCCTGATATTGGGGCGTTCCAGCGCCAGATTGGGTAATTTGTTACATAGCTATTGAAAATGGTGATTTATAGTGGATTTTACCACTAAAAATGGTGATTTTCCATAGCTATGTTAAATTACCAGAGGGTAGTTGTCAGTACCCAGCTGTTCTTCAAGAATTTATCCCAAGCCGTAAGACAGTATGGGTTGGCCCAGCTGGGGGAAATTCTGGCGTCACAGGCGCCCTGCTTGAATGGCGCAAATTGCAACCTCATCCGTGCCTCTTGGTGAGCCGCACCTGGCACCACAAACTCATGAACGGGCCTTATGAATGTATCATAATGTATCACAATTCCATTTAATGTATCCCGGTGTTTGTTGGCCTTAACTTGCAGTGATGTTCATTGATGTGAATATCAATGGCGTTGCCTAATCAGGATGGGGCATGGCGTTGCCTGACTACCAACGACCCAAATCAAATCCGCGGCGGCGCCATCGTTTGAAAATAGTGTAATTACCCACCCTTAGATGCAGTGGTTAATCGTAGACATTTGAGGGGTTACCCCGTTTCCTCATCCTGTGTAACCTGTTTCAATGCCTGAGTGTCTCAAACTTGGGAATATCCAAATGAATGTTTCCACCGCAGAAGTAGTCTATACCAACGAACATGTAGCTTTTGGTAATTTAAAACAGCTAAAGAAAGTTGCCATTTATCATTTATAGTTGATTTAGCTCTTAAACACAGTGATTTTCCAGTTCGCTATGTTAGTTTACCAGAGGGTAACCTGAAGATTCCAGTCAAATTTGTCCAAGACTTGCACTGTGAAGCTGACGTTTTCGGCTTGGATTTTTAGAAGTCTTCGGACATCTTTCGTGTGGAAAATGATAGTGGAAATGATGGGCCATGGGATTAGTTAACTGTTTAGGAACTTGGTTCTAACTCCGTATATAATGGGTCATAATCCAGGTAGCCAGTTAGCTAATCCCATCGCCCGTCTAATCTAAGTATAATATCCTGTTGATCCTTTTTTTCAGAAAGCCAGTTTAGAGTTTCTGGAGGGTACTTGGATCATCTTGGGTACAGGAAGTGCATGGTGAATCACCATGGTCAGGGTGAGGGCACTTATTTATGTATATATGAGTAACCGCCAAAATTAGCGACTTGGGATGTTCAAATTTGAGTGCCAACCTTCACAACCGATAGAAGACCACCCACTTGCCGATACCCTATTTTCACACATAACATGGAAGTACAAACCTTCACAACCGATAGGGGACCACCCACGTTGGCCATATCCATTGCGAGTAGTAAGCAATTTTGTTTGCCACTCATCTATCTCTCTCTATATATATATATACATATGAGTAACCAACAAAATTATTGAAATACTATTAATAATTCAGTCTTGCTTCGCCTTGGCCTTGCACAGAACCCTCATAACCGATAGGGCACGACCCTATACCAATACCCCATTTGTGATACCTCCAGGAATACTGAAATCCTCACAAATGATATAGGGACGACCCCAATTTGCGCAGGGCATTATATAAATTTAACATGTTTGCACGCTATTCATATATATATATATTATGTATATATATATATATATAGATAGATGTGTACACATTCTACTTGATATCTATATGTAAACAATGAACACACACACATATATATATGTATATATATATATATTGATATGACTGCATGTACATGTATGTTTGAGAGTTTTCTATATGTATATAAGTTATACAAATGTAGACATGTATTAGCCAATGCAGATTGGATCTGTGAACGTTACCACGACTGCTTCGTTGGCGCCAAGGCTCGATCCAATTTCACCAGATCCTGCAAGGACGGAAGGGTGGAAGTATTGGGGTTAATGGATGGTTAATGGATGGTTATTCCCCCAAATATGGTAATAATATGTAATAATATGTAATAATGTGGGTAAAACAATAATCAACCATCCCCCAGTCAGCACCATTTTTTGGTTGGTGGTATGTAGAAACCATTCCCAGGAAAATGGCTGGTAAAAATGGCATTGTTTTACTCACATTCTAATCTAAGATTCTAGATGTTGACAGTCCGCGCAGTCTCAACCTCCTATCCTCCTAATTACTGGCTACGTAAGAGGGCCCAGCTGACACTCAGCAGCTTCTATTTTCAACATGGTTTAACTATAAAGATTTTGAAGTATGAATTTTACGGTTAGCCCCCCCAAACAAAAGTGTAGGGTTCCAATCAAAATTTCATAAGTCCTGAAATTTTCTTCAAGCTTCCGAACGCTTCAATCCCCCCAGGGCATCGAGCTGGAGTATGACTGCGATTGTTCAGGCTGCAGTTCGTGCACCAAAGCCATTCAACCGGAAGAGAAGTATGACGGATGTCCCAAAACCTGTGGTGGTTGGGGCTGGTGGAAGAAAAGTTCCTCGGCCCAAACAGCCCATAAATAGCTCCGAGGTTTGTGACAGGACGTAATTAATCTCGATCTGTTGGATCTTTATAAGCACAAGCACACACACACACGCAAAAAAAACAATGTTTTATATTTTATGTTAAACTGGTAAACTTTTCTTTTTGACATGTTTTTTAAAGTCCCCCCCAAACGGCAAATTGGTTAAATGGGGAATGGTTTCATCTATATTTATATTACTATATGATTGGTTTCGGCACATCCCACAACTCATCATGCGCTTGCACAGAAACATAAATCTCGACTAGTTTACACTTAACCGATCACTTACCAATCACAAGCATTTACCCGCTTCAGCACATCTCCTGGATGGGAGATGTCAATCTGGGTAAATCACGGCAAAGTGTTGGAAGGTTAAGATGCCTGGAGCAATAGGGATATATATACATATATCCCACTCGAGATAATGTCCACATATGTCAACCCTGGATTTTTGTCCCGGATTGCTAAAAAAGGGATGCCATGAAAAGGTGTTTCACTTCAAGAACTATGTTTGATACTGGGGAGGGACCACATGATAGAGTTTACCAGGAAATTCAGAAGCAAGCTGCAAACGGTTTGCCAATCACTGGGTCTTGGTGAAGGCTTCGGGGTTGGGCCGCGGCAGGCCACAGATTTTTGAAGCAGTTCTTCCCCGACAGATTGGGAAACCTTGATTGTATAGATTTTATAGACGCTTTCCCATGACCGGACCAGAGAGTTTAGACTTTAAAGTGTCAGAATTTGAATGATTCCCTCTACTTTTTCATGATTTCTTCAACCTTTTAACTGTAGAAACCCTTCCGGTTTCCCGGGCCAATGGGTAGCTCAAGGCCAGCAAAACATGTGTCTGAAACTGACCATCTTCACGGCTCTTGGGTCCTCCGCAGCCCCTTGAGGTTGCGATGTGTACATTTGGAATTCAATAAATAAAGGTGCCGGGAAGCGCTGATGCAACAAGGCAGACCATCCATGTATTGCAATGTATTACGGTTTTGCATATAGAACTACTGACTATAGCTGTTTTTTTGGACAAGCACAGATCAATATATCAATTCTGACTTACCCTTTCGTCTTTTGTCCTGAAGCTAACAACAGTTGAACGGTCAAAACAAGTACAAACGTCACATCAAACATTTAGATCTGCTGAACTTCTTGAGGCGGTGGAGAGATATCAAGCAAACAACAATTTAACAATTCACATGATTTGTCCTGTCCACCCTACCTAGGATATCCACAGATACTTGCCGTGTCAGTTGCGCATGTTGGGACATAAAAACAGGGCAGATCCGAGCTGTCAGTTGACGGGTCAGTCAGTTTATGTAGTCCCCAAAAAAAAGATGCCGAACAGTCTTTCCAGGATGGTAATTCGATGATATATGGTTCTGCATATTTTGTAGATTTTTGTAGGTGTCCAACTTTTCTATCTTTGGTATGTCAAATTCTTGGCCCAACCAATTGGACAGATTTTGCGGTCCGTTTTTTTTCTGATATATATCCTCCCATTGCTGGGCCAAGTTTGACCCGTACCATTCAACATCTATTCCTATTGGATTCTTCTCACTTTCATATATTGTATGGTTGTTTATGATGCTTATGGTTGTTTCAAGTTGGTTACAATCCAGACTGTGGATTGCTTTCCAGGTTTTGATGCTTGATCTTTTCAAATCTTTCATATGTCATGGTTCCTTGGCCATTCTTGGGATGAATGAACTCTTCACCATAGCCTGATCCATGGTTAATGCTTACCCCAGATAAACAAAGCCCGGTTGAGAAGGGGAAACAAGATATGGATCCCAAAACTGGGCCAAGGAGTCATAGTGCCGAGAAACAACTTGGATCCGTAGGGACTACAATGTGGGCCCCCCAGTTACGTTTGTTGGTTTGTATAAGTATCGTAAACTGCATGGTCACTAACCCCATTTATAGAGTGTATAACCCCATTTATAACCAGTTATAACTCATAAACGGCCATAACTGTAGCGATTTCGTAAACCGGGGGCCCCACTTTGTAGATGTTCTTTGGGGGCCCTGCGAAGCCGCAGGCAAATCCAAATGGACCTGCGATAACTTGCAGATGCCTGACCTGCGGTAACCGAACGTGGGAACCATCCAAAAAGGCCCATTTGTGCCATGAACAATACCCCTACAAAGTCGGGCCCCGTAAACGAAATCGCTAAGTTGGTTACAAGTTCAATATAGTTCAATAGCGATTGGGTTTATGATACTTGTAAAATCTTGTAAGTATACTGTAGCTATGCAATGGGGTTTATAAGCCAACAAACACTACTCTGGGGCCCCACATTGTAGCCCATCCCGTAAAAAATTGGTTGATCGATACGTATTTATCCCTAACGTTGGCAGTGATATTCCCATGACAGTATAATAAAGTATTGTAACCCCGTGAAAAAAAGACTAAAATCAATCGGGGTTGGACGGTTGGATTATCAGCATTGAAAACTGATGTATAATGAATAATATATATATATATATTTAGCAGTTAGCAATATAAGTTGATAACCCAAATAAAAGTAACTATATTATCATTACATCAGTTTATGATTGCTAACCACCTGCCAACCATAATATGATCATTACATGATTACTAATGTAGTTAGCTCATTGGTGAAATGGAGATTTTGAGGAAAATCACAGGAAAGTCATGGGAAACATATGATAAAATCCACCTTTTATCCATTATAAATGGAGGTCTTGATGTCAAAAATAACTTATAGCCTATATATATAACATCTATATGGGGGACTTTTCAGCAAGCCATGTTGGATGAGACCGGAAAGTAAAATTTCATGGCTTTAGTCCATGCCCCGTTGCCTGAGGAACCAACACAACTGCAATTGTAGGGGCTGCCTACTTTGCCCCTCGGCAGTGGCGAACCTCAGGTGGAACGCGGTGAAACAGCATTTTCTGATGGTTTTCTGATGGCTTATGAATCGAAAGAGTGATAAAAAGTTCTGACACATCGCTTTTTTGAAGGACGTGTTTTGCTATATAATTAGAATATAAAAAGTTTTTTTAGAAGAAGTATAAAGAAGCCCGTGGTTACCTGTAAGTTGCCTTGAATATGGACCCATATTGACATTCATCACCAATATTATATATATATAGAACTATGATGAAATACGTAGATATTCCATCATATTCCTCCATTTTGGTTACAGCTTGTGAGGCGGAGCCAGACATGTGCAGGGGCAAAATGGATCAACATGTGAGACCTCAGATGCAACCACCGAAGCACGATATTTGTTCGGGCTAAGTTTGGCTCAGACCGATTGTCACTTTCTGATTTATAGATAGATATTTAATTATATTTATTTATTTGTATATATTGTATATATATATATATTTATAGTTATAAATATTTATAGGTCCTAAGTTGCTTTCTCTTTCTAATTTCTGATGCCACTTGTAGGTCATTTGGCAATACTCGAATGGGCTCCTTCCCCAAAAAAGACATGCGCTCAACGCTTCCAGGCGAGCACGACTTTGACGCAACTTGACTGGGAAAGCCACCGCGTCAACGGCGACATGAGCGAAACGGCCATCTTTGTTTGGTGGTGTCCTACATGTGCACACATGTCTTACAGCACTTCTTTGCCTTGGATGCAGATATTGATTACATACACTTTCTGATCTTAGCATATTTTGGTGTGGTTGAATTAATTGTTTGATGTGATGAAAGATGCGACATTGTTGACGCAATACCAAGAAAATGAGGATAACTATGGAAAGCCACCCGCAGCGTTTCCGGTACTGGTAGGATAGGACGACTCCGAATGTGCTGGAAAACACATGGTGAAGCCCTAGGAGAACAGGGGGTTTTCCGCATTTCACTAGCGAATACAAGTCACCATTAGAAATGTGTGGACATATCTTCTCCTGCAGGGCAAGAAATGCAACATATACCCATAAGATCCATGTATGCTATATATGGCAACATTTACCATCAATACACCCCCAATGTTAGCATATATACCATACATGGATCCTATGGGATATAGATGCAACATTTTCTTTTAAATCGCATATTCCAGGGCACTCCATTCATCGCCTCCTAGGCATCCTGGTTTGTACCGATATGGTTTACTTAAAATACAGGATGGGGCCCCAGTTCGTTAGCTAAGTTGGTGCAAACACCTACAATAACAAGTTGGTGTATGATACGCAAATAACTATATTTGGATGTTTTTTTTCCAACTTTTTACTGGTGGACCCCATCCTGTATGTTTGGATATGTTCAGATTAGGATGGGATCAGGAGCTAAAGGCAATTTCTTCCAGCTTTACCTGAGGATAAGGAGGCCATCAAGTGAGAGTGGCGTGGCCGCGGCCGGCTGCGATGCATAGCACGGGTTGCAGTGCCGAAGTGTACTATAATTTGAGGACTCAAACCAGGATCTTAAGTTTATCATTGCTAGAATGATTGAAGGCGACTGGATGGGATTTTCCAAGTGCAGTTCTTGGGCTCTTGATGTACATCCATCGAATGGGAATAAGATCCCCATATTATACCCCATTTTTCATTATTCTCATCTTTAAAAGTGGTCAACCAACAATCAAAAGCCGTGTTTTGAATACTGATTTAGTATTTTCGAAGCCAAACATGGATGTTTTTGGACTGGAACATGTTTTTTTTCTGTTATTTGTGGTAAGCCAACTCTCCCCCCATCCAGACATCTTGATGCCTTGATCCCCCGGTGGATCCGGCCTTGAAAAAAAGGGCCACCCACTGAGTCCTTAAAGTCCTTTTAACCCTGCTGAGCATGCCCAAACCGTTACTGAGATTAATTCTATATGTCTGCGGAAAACTAGCCATGGTATGTGATGCTTATTCAACTCTAAGTCCGAATAATCATCGGGCAGCTTACGCAACTATCACCACGTGGGTTTGTTTCAACCAAAAAATGTGAGTCCAGCACTAATATTTACTGTATATAATAATGTATATATTTATCTATTTACATATCCCATATCCAAGTGCCTGTATAAACAGTCATTTGGTGCTGATATATCAACATCGTAACATCTAAAAAGAAACCATAAACCATAGTAAAACATTTGTGAATAATCTTTCCATTTTTTGGACGGTACTTTGAACCATATGATATTATTGATTGTTAGTGATATTATTTTACATATATGTTTACATATATTCTATAATTATGTATGTGTTTTTATCACGTGTATATATATATATATATATATGCGTGTTAGATTTCAGCCATGGAGAGAGGAAGACACATTTGTATCAGAGTTTGCCGGGCACGTTCTTCCGCCATCGATATTTCGAAATTTTGGTGCCCCAAGAGAGGGTAACTGGATGGGACGTTTGTCAAAGCTCCAGGGAATCTACGGACGCGAGGAAAATGAGAGAGAGAGGGGCCCAAGATCGTGGCATTTGTTGAAATCCTTACCCATGGGATCCATGTATGCTATATATGGTAACATCTACAATATTTTACCATCAATATACCCCAAATGTTAGCATATATATACACCATACATGGCTCCTATGGGTTATGTATACATATAGAGAGAGAGAGACATGATGTTGCTCCATATTCTGTCTTTCAACCGTATATACATATTTATATGTAATATATAGAGCAAAGAGAAAGATAGACATGATGTTGCTCCACATTTTTTCAGACTGTTTCAATTGCGATGCATGGGTAACCACAGTTCCAATAATTTATCATGAGCGTTAAATATATTTCGCATTACCGATGGCCTTTTTGGGGCACCTCTCCATTTGATCAACAATGCTCTTGGACTGCTGATAATGTGGGTGGGTTCCAGCCAGCTTGCGTTCTGGTACATACGAATACCTCAAATACGTACACATACATATGTATACATATATATTAGACCGTTCATGTTATGTTGGGAACCCTCGCGAAAGGATTTTTTCGAGTTCGCTGGTACTGCCTAACGTTGCTTTCTGAAGTCTCAAGAAACAAGCTCCAAATGCAGCAGCCAAGCTTCTAAAAGTGAGGCTTTGCGAGAGCCAAACACCAAGGCCCCCTGGTGTTTGGTTCTCCCCTGATGCGCCCCCTGCTGATGGCTGGGGTCTGCGGATAGGGGTATTTTCGCGAAAGTTCCGCGAAAGTTCGGCGAAGGAGTGGGCGAAAGTCAAAGTGCATTTTGAAGGGAGTGGCCCAGTAAGCCTTGCAAAAACTTGTCCTGAGAAGGGCATTCCGTGATGCTAGCTGCATGTTTACAAGGCTATGAAGAAGTTATCCGTGATATTTTGGTTTGATTTGGCAGGTGATGAATGAATCTTCAAAAGAGGAGTTGTTGCTCAACATGGGTTCCGCGAAAGATACACATGGAGTTTGCGAAAGATTCGCGAAAGAAACTTGTTTATTCGCGTTAGAATGGCCTGCAGATAAAGGAATTTAGATCAACCGCCATATATATATATATATATACGTAAATCAGATATAGGTAGTAAAGATGGAATCACAATATCGTACAGTGTGCTTACTGGATCAGATGTGTGTATGCAATGCAGCAACGTTTTTAACACTGGATTCATTAAGCCTTAGTCGTTGATTCGTTTGGGGGTGCCATTTGTGACCGAATTTGTTGGAAACGTGCCAGCCCTTCAGAATGAACCCAGGTTTTGAAATTATAATGGAAGCAAATACATGATTTCAGACGTGACGAGCTTGTTCCAAGTCAAGTCACGCATGGCCCACCCGATTGGAGGTTACAGTTTGATGTGATTGTTCGTAAACCAATCCCTCCGGATCGCACCAATAGACGGGAACCCATTATTGAGCATCGGGATGGACTACTTTCGCCCAGTAAACATGGAACCTAAACATGGCAACATCCAACAGGATCCAAACATGGCCATAGGAAAGTGATCTTTCAGACTCCCTGATCTCCATGGCCGATGGCGTATGCGTTTCCATTCTATACGTTATTTTACCCAATAAATTCACATAATTCATCATAATTCCATATGCTCGTTGTATCCCCATTGTAGATCGTGAAATTGGAGACTCAAGAACAAAAATCATCAAACCTATCCGTAGATCGTGACCTTGGGGATTGAAGACTATACTTATAGATTTCCATAGATTCCCCAAGTTCTGAATCCGAGGCCTTGGTACGAAGTACCGCCTTCGAAACTATTGTGGCGTCCCCTGGCGAAACCGTAAGGATATGACATGGGGTCATGGAAAATTATGGAAAATCATGGAAAATCATGTGTAGATGTGGATTTGATTTCGAGTTTAAGTGGGGTTTAATATGGTTTAATGGTCTTTATATATATATATAACTCACCAATATGATTGATGTACTCGAATACTGCATATGGCATATGGAGTTATACATTCTGATATAAGCACCGGCAATGACCCAACTAACAATGTTTGGGATGGGAGATGGATTAAGAATCCAATCGCCTGTTCGTGTTGAACACATTAAACATCCCCCGGAATCTGTGGTGCATATAAGGGATTAAATCACATATGACTGGGATCCTAATTGGTATGTGAGATCTAATATGAACGGGAGATGGGATGATTTCAAGACTTTGAATATTTTTCTACACATGGAGGTATCCACTAACCAGCGACAAAGAAAAAATAAAGGGGCAGGTGTCTAAGATTCGGCATGCTTATGGAATTTTCATCAAGAATTCGTCCAAAACTATGGCAGCAAAACTTTCCAGTTTAGATGGGCAGTGGAACTCAAGTGATCCCGGTTTTGGAGGTTTGACTCACAAGGGGCATCCAAATGTAGGGGCCAAGTAGATTATCTTTACTTCATATATGACCAGGGTTCCCACGTTTTGACCTATTTTGGGGTTGCTACATGCATACACACACACAGTTTTTTCATTTTACAGGCGCAGTATATGTATACATACATGTGATGTTTTTTTTTGGGGGGGGCTAGTTTCTCATTAATTATTAATCATTGAAACTTGCATTGTTTGGTACTCCATTCTGTTTTGACATTAGTAAAAAGCCATGGTTTTGCGACAGCAGCTAAGCATTTAGAACCGCTGAAGGAAGCAATGGCTCGCAAGCGAATTCTGTTTTAAGAAATGGTTGCATGGAAATAGCAGGTACGAAGCCAACTCTGTTGCTGATGTTCTAAGAGAACAAAGGTAGCCCGACCCGTTGGTGGATTGGAAGTTTCAATCCGAGACTGTGGCAAACCCACACTATTCATCGTCCATCGTATTCGCCCCCGAAACATGAACAAAGTCACGACAATATGTATATATAAATAGACAAATACACAGAGCAATGATACAATATGTATCAAATTATCTATAAATGTATATATTTAGATTTACCAATGTTCATGTACATATGCAGCATATACATACAGAACAACAATAACGACAACAACAACAACAGCAACAACAACAACAGCAGCAACACCAACAACAGCAACAACAACAACAACAGCAACAACAACAGCAACAATAATAACAGCAACAAAAACAACAGCAACAGCAAGAACAACAGCAGCAACAACATCAGCAGCAACAACAACAACAACAGCAACAACAGGAGCAGCAGCAACAGCAACAACAGCAACGACATCAACAGCAACAACAACAGCAACAGCAACAACAACAACAAAACAGGAACAACAGCAACAACAACAACAGCAGCAACAACAACAACAACAGCAACAACGACAACAACAACAACAGCAACAACAGCAGCAACAGCAGCATCAACAGCAGCAACAACAACAGCAACAACAACAACAACAACAACAGCAACACCAACAACAGCAACAACAACAACATCAGCAACAACAACAGCAACAGCAACAAAAAAAAACAGCAGCACCAACAGCAACAACAACATCATCAGCAAGAACAGCAGCAACAACAACAACAACAGCAACGGCAGCAACAACAACAACAGCAGCAACAAGAACAGCAGCAACAACAACAACAGCAACAACACCAACAACAGCAACAACAACAGCAACACCAGCAGCAACAACAACCGCAACAACAACAACAACACCAACAACAGCAACGACAACAACAACAGCAACAACAGCAGCAACAACAACAACAGCAAAGACAGCAACAGCACCACCAACAACAACAACAACAGCAACAACAACAACAACAACAACAGCAACAACAGCAACAACACCAACAGCAACAGCAACAACAACAACAACAGCAACAACAACAGCAACAACAACAACAAAAACAACAGCAACAGCAAGAACAGCAGCAACAACATCAGCAGCAACAACAACAGCAACAACAGGAGCAGCAACAACAACAGCAACAACAGGAGCAGCAACAACAAAAGCAACAACAACAGCAACAGCAACAACAACAACAAAACAGGAACAACAGGAACAACAGCAACAACAACAGCAACAACAACAGCAACAACAACAACAGCAACAACGACAACGCCAACAACA